CCCCCCCCCCCCTCCTCCCCCTCAACACGCCGCACTATCTAGGATTAGAGTTGACCAATCTTAGGCGAGGATATTTGGATTCTCGTGCGTGGACTGGCTACAGGCCATTTAAGCTACGGACTGTGTCCCGAATAGGAGAAACCTTTGTCAGCATTTCTGTCAGATCACCCGGGTAAAGAACAGCTACGCCCTCCGCGCACCAAAACCCTGCTGACACCGCCACCTACCGGACGGAGCGCAGCGAGGGGAGGTAGGCAGGTGTCAGCAGGGTTTTGGTGCACGTCGGGCTTCGCTGAAAAACCCCCGGATGCTCGGCGATGTACTGCCTGACATTCGTCATCTCTAGCCCACGCTGCACGTTCAGCGTCGACTCCTTGTCCCAGCCAACCCCCTTGCCGGCTCCAAACATGATCTGATACTTGAGGTTGATATCATCGGGACTGCTCTCCAGTCTTTTGTGAAGTGCTTCCAGGTCCCAAAGTTCCCGCCTCCAGGCTCTGGACGGACACAGCTCCTCCATCATGTCCGCGATCTGCTTGTACGACATTGTGTCGCCCGCGATGTGGACGATGTTGCCCGCCGGCGGCACGAACAGTGCCTCGGCCGTCATGCGTCCTACGTCCCGCGGCATGGTCAGGGTGATGCGGTTGTCCCAGCTTCCCAAGGCGCGGAGCACGCCGGCCGGGGCGTCCACGACGCCGAAGCTAGGTAGGAAGAGGAAGCTCGTGAACAGCCCCGTCGACGCGATCAGCCAGTCGGTCTTGTCCTGCTGCCGCAGCAGGTCCCGCACGTCGAGCTGCTCGTCAAACAGCTTCATGACGCTGCCTCTTCCAATGGCTTCATAGTCGCAACCAAACTGCCACCTGTCGACGCCGTCGGGGTTAGCCAACCAAGTCGCATCGGATGCTTGCGGGTTGAGAGAAACATTTCATAAGGGGTCGCAACATACGGCACAAACTTTGCGACGCCGGCGGCCAGCGCAGCCCGCGCCAGCCGCAGCTGGGTGCCATCGGGCATGCCGAACCCGACGCACACCACCACGGTGTGGTATCTCGCAAAGACCTTGGCCAGGGCCTCGACTGACTGGTCCTGGAAGTCGCAGGGCTCGATGTCGGCCCCGAGGGCACGAACCGCCGCGGCCGTCTCGGGCTTGTTCTTGATGCTCTCCGGGCGTAGCATGACGCTGATCTTGGCGCCGCGGCGTTGTGGGTGGCTGACCAGGGCTTCTAACACCGCAGACCCCAGCTCTCCGGCGCCGATGACGAGGATTCCTGATGCCGCCATGGTTTAAGTGTGGCTATCTTGCTGGTGATGAATGTTTATGTACCTTTTGCTGATACAATGGCAGATATGTGTGCAAAAGAATGGGCGAAGACGAGCATGTTCACCTCGGGCAGCCCCGTCTCACCTTTATCCGTACGAGCGGCTGACAAATGTATCTCGCAAACCGGCTTACAAACGTGGAATCTACTGCCAATCCACGTGGGATGTATCAAAATAGCTTGGCAGTAGGTACCTAGGTACCTAATTGCCTAGGGCGTTTTGGGTTGAAGAAAAAACCTGAGGAGCAAGGCATCCAAGTATGAAGCCGCTACAGCACCACCCGTCCAACAGCCTTACCATGGACGCCACCCGACCATTCAGGAAGGCCCGACGGGCGACAGTCGTCCAGCCCCGCCTCCACACGTGATGGCAAATACCCGAAACGTCGCGTCGCGAAAAGCAAAGCTTCCTTCAATGCAAATCCCCACCACCACCTCATTCTCGTCTTCTTGCGCCGCATTCCGGGTGCGGTCTCGCCCTCTCTCTTAGTGACTCCGGGACCCCCGCTTGGCGAAGCCGCCCTTCCGCCGCATGAGATGGCCATCTCGAACCTCATTCCGGGCCTGGAAGTCACGGTCAAGGTCGACGGGGAGGCCGCGATTGAGCATGACGACGACGCCGCCTACGACGAGCCTTGCGCCGTAGAGTACGACTCTCCCGCCGGCGTTCGCGTCGTGAAATACATCGAGGCCAAGTCAGGAGCGCCCTTCTGTCTTACGATCAAGCGAGCTAGCAATTTCAACTTCCGTGGCGACCAGATCGGATGGTCTGTCGCCGTAGATGGCGGCCGGGGATGGTGGCAACAAGAGATCAGCCTTCAAACCCCCAGGAGAGGCGCAGAATGGGTGAGCCAAGTGGCCGGGTACTCTGAGGGTGATCCTGTCTCTGGATTCATCAGGAAGTTTTGGAGGTTCGGGGATTTGGACATTGGTCAGTCTAATTATAATTAGTTGATCCACAGGACGGACTTGTTCGGTCGTCGTTCGCAACAGAGCACGCCTAGCCGCAGCTGACTCTCTCTTATCCACAGAATCGGCCGACACACGCAGCACAGCCGAGGCGATGGCGAAACAGACCTCGCTTGCAAAGTCCCTTGGAGTCATCACTGTTACCGTGCATCACCTGCTACGCCCAGATCAGGTCACGACGCCGCGAGCCTTCCGCGAGGAGACAAATACAGGCCCGGTCAACGAGAAGGCTCTGAAAGGCAAAGCCTTGAGTCTTAGAGCCGCGTCAGTGCTCAGCCTAAGTTATTTTGCCTATCCAATGTAGCGTGACTTCCACGTTGACCCTCGGCATTTCATTTTCCAAAGCGCCAACCCCGAGCCCGGCGCACGGCCGATGCCTTGTTCACGTCACTATCAGTTCAAATATCTGGATCCCAAGCGGCGCCCCTTTGCCGTGTTCGAGTTCCGGTACCGCACCAGAGGTAAATAATCCCATATAAAGATCATATTCCCTATTCCAGATATCATATTGATAAGTGTTGCGACCAATGCAGAGGACCTCATCAAGGAAGCTATCTTACGGGCCCCGCCAAGCCCTACTCAGAAGACTCATGAGAACCAGCCGGTGATCCTGATAGATGATGAAGATGATGGTAGTTCGTCACGCATAGTCAAGGGGGAGGCCACAATGGTCAAAGAGGAGAAGAAAAATGCCACTGGAGGAATCAAGCGAGAGGCAGGAGAGGCTAGCCAAGCTCCTCCTCCTCGCCGCATCAAGCAGACCCGCCGTCCTGACGGAAAGTTCTTGGTCGACCTCACTGACGACTGAGGTCAAGACCTAAAAAGGCCCAGGGACACCGCTATAACGAGGTGGCGGCGTTAGACATTAGAAACTAGTAGTGACGTGGGGGTGGCGCTTCGTGAGGCAGGAGATGTTCCGCGCGTGTTGGTATCGATGCAGGCAGGAATCGCTCCCCACTGCGCGTCAATGGAATCATCCCACCTCGCTCACCGACTGCTGTGCGCGCCTGTAGCTAGTATCGTGTGTGCTGTGCCTTCGTCTCTGGGGTTGGCCTAACCGCCGCGTTTTGGGTTCCCATCGGTACCGACGAGACAAATGCGTGGTGGCGTTCCACGTCCTTCGCGAAAATCTACCAGGATGGGGAGGGGAACGCGAACGCCGTGCGGCTGTTTCCAGGCTGCCCAGCCGGGGCTGGTACTCTGAGGGCACGGGGCTCTCACATCCATTCCTTTTTGGTTGGGCGAAACCACCCCTGCGTCGGGGGGCTGCACGTGGCGACGAGGATCCTGGAACGGCTCCGGGCGCGCATCACTCAGGGAGAATGCGAGCCTGCAGGGCCCTGACAAGCTGACCGTCCCCCTCGCCCACACCACCACCACAAACCCCCTTTTGCCAACACCGCCTACCAAAACAGGGGACGACAAGCGCCGCACACATCGGAGGGTTGACAAATGCGGGATATGGGGGTTGAGGATGATGTGCCTCTGGGGGGTCTGGACATAAAGGGCGCGTGGGGACCCCGTCCTGGGTTCTCGTCGGTGTTGGCCTTTTGCGATTCCCAGCATCAACCTTGGACATTCAACCGACCGCAGTCTAACCCCCCCTCCCAGACGACCCGACCCGCACCCTTCGGTCGCGTGCATCGCATTGTGCCGGACCGTGCACAACCTTCCTTGACCTAGACCTAGACCAAAATGACCAGCGGCTCGTGCCTGTGCGGGGCCTCCAAGATATTCATCTCGGGCGAGCCATCCGGCGTGGTAAGCGGCGCGCACTCCCGCTTCTCTACGATGCAAAAAAAAAAAAAAAAGCATTCGCTCGAGCGTGAGAAGGGGGGGAAAAAAAAGAAGAAAAAGGAAAAATAAAAGCTGAACAAGGCGACAAAACCCAGGTCACATGCCACTGCCGCGACTGCCGCAAGATATCAGGCAGCGTTTACAGCGTCAACTGGGTGGTGCCGTCGACGAACGTGAGCGTGGTCGGGCACGGCCTCAGCTCCGTGGCCGTGACGGCCGGCAGCGGCAACCGCATCACGGGCTATTTTTGCAGCGGCTGCGGCACCACGCTGTACCGCGCCTCGGACGGCGTCCCGGGCCTCTGGTTCGTAAAGGCCGGCGTGCTCGACGGCGAGGCCGCCCTGGCCGCCCACCCGCCCGCCGGCGAGAGCTTCGTCGGCACCCGCGTCGGCTGGGTGCCCAAGCTCAAGGACGTGCAGCAGGCGGACGGGCACTGCAAGCTGTGAGCCGGGTGGGGGGGGGGGGGGGGGCTGTGTTTGTGTGTTTGGGGGCAGCGCTGAGATGGCAGCCCCGAGACTAGGTGTGTGTGATGTGACGGATGTGGGACTTGTTGTGCTGTTCCCTTCGGTGTCAGGACGACGGGACCTATAGCTGAGGCATTATCGGATGGAATAAAAATATCTTAATGGTTTAGATTGATGGGTGTTCTTTTCCCTCGTGACTCGTTTATTGTGCTATCATGGCAGCGTTGGGACATTCTACGACCTCCCAAGGGTGTGTGTATGTATGCAGGATGTCCGGTGGTGCAAGATGAGATCAGGGTAAGAAAGCAATAGTAACTGGTACTCGGTCAGCTATCTGCCGATACCAAAGGTCCCATCCTCGAGCCTGTCGACTGTAAGGACACGAGCTGTCTTCCCAGCATGTTTCGTCCGTCCCTTTCTCTGCAGCGGATGGTCTCGGAATCAGATGCAAGAGAAACATGCATTCATCCCCGAGATTCCTCTCAACGGTGCCGGAACTCCGCCGACCAGCAAGCAGATTTCAGACGACGGTAAACTATACACGGCGAGAGCCCAGAACTACCCCAGCTACTGTACGTCAGTCTTAGCAGTACCTATATATCAATCGCGCGCTGGACAGAAAACTGTCGATGCCGTAGCCCAATCCGACAAAGGCTGCCTCTGCAAGGCTGCCTGACCACTCGGATCGACAGTTTGGCCGTCATCATCGAACATTACGCCACAAAGACTCCCCCGGCGACCATGACGCACAACATCAAAGATCACCCGGGAAGACCCCGGCCCATTCCTCGACCTGTTCACGGATGACGCCGTCTACGTCGACCACGGGGCACAGATCCAGGTGCCGCGCCCGTACCTCGAGGCCCACCACCGCAATTGGCGGCGGTCGCACGCCGACTTCGAGATCAAGGCCGACCCGGCCTACCCCTTCTTCTGGCGGGACGTCGACGAGGCGGCCGGTAACGCGCGCGTGAGCTTCAGGCACCGGAACAAGGGCGTCTTTGTCGTCGACCTGCCGCGGCGCAAGGCCACGGGCAAGCCTTGGGAGTACTTGGGGTAAGTGCCAACAAGTACAAAAAAAAGAGCCGGGGCCATGGGCTACCTGCTAAATCAAAACCTCCTCAGCGTCACGGATCTCGTCATCGAGGGCGGAAAGATCGCGCGGGGCCGAGGACTGGCTCCGGATCCCGTTCGAGGACAGCATCTTCCTAGAAAGTACATCGTCATCGACGCCAAGACGACCAAGCAGGTCCAACGGCCCATCGTCGGCAATGGCAAGGTCCAGGAGTAGGAACGGTCGCCCCCCACGCACCCCGCGAGGGTAGGATGTGTTTTTGCCCTATTAAGGGGGTTGGCCGGGGTTCGAGGTTGGATCGGCTACCCGTCCGCTCGCGCGGCCTGGTTCTCGACGGGGCTCGCATGAAACAAAGGCATTGGAAATAGAAACATGGTCTGCCGACGGCCGGGTCCTTTTCAAGGCGGGTTCCGCCTCTTGTGAATCCGGGGAAGCACGTTGCCACCTGGTGGGTGCTGGTTGTCAGGGCATGGCTCCGGGGATTTTAAAGATAGGAGTGCAGCAAATATAAACACTTGGCAAAAGTATCTAACAAAGCTTCAGGCTGTTGGATCTGACCTTGCGGCACGACACGGGGTGCGCGGCGCGCAGAAGGACCGCAGGTACGCCAGACTGCGTCGTGGCAGGCAGAGCAAAGGCTGCTTTTTGCCTGTGATCTCAGGCTTAGAGAGGCCAAAGAAATCCAGCTTTGCAAAATGGGCAAATGCGGCAACCACGTGACCAGACCCTGAGTCAAGAACGGAGAAGTTTGTGCTTGGCGCTTTTCTATTTCGGTGCCGCCTGAAAATAGATGGGTGATCCAGTTCCTCTCTCTCTGGCCGGGGCTGCTCCCTGCGGATTGTAATCAGGTAAGCACGACATTCCGAATTCCGATCATGGTTGATTGACACCTGAGCCCAATGCTCAACAGCTCGGTCGCGATGTCATGGCCGCAATGATTATGATGGAAGGACCGGAACACGGCACGGGAGCACGGAGGCCCCGAACCGGCAATTGGCGTGCCGGCCACACCACGCCACAGGCCAAGTGAGGTCGGGTTTACACATTGGCACGCATGCGGTCCAGGGCAGCCGCGCGTTCTCTGGGCTCGTTTGGCACTGGGTTGGTTATTATGACGACGATGACCTCAGGCCGCCCCGCCGGTCCTGCCCCAAGACAGAGGCAGCAGCCGACCATTTTATGCCATGTTTGCCGCAAAGCTTAATGCCGGCTGGGTAGGCCGGGAGAGTCCAATCAAGCAGTGGCGAGCCAGACGAGAAAAAGATGAAAAGAAACAGAAAAGCGATGCCCACAATTATGGTGGCTTTGGCGGCGTGGCAGGGGCTGCTCAATTGAAACATTGCACAGCTCTCGGCCATCCATCCATGACGCGCGCTGGGGCACGGGAAGACCCTGGCGCCACTTATGTTTGGATGGGGCGGTGGACTGGGCTCCTGCCATTACAGTATGGCACGGCCACACATGATGACGTTTGTCCGACAGGAACAACGGCCACGCCTTAGTCCATGGAAAGATGGTCAACATGATAAAAGAGGGCCGCCGCGCCTCCCATTCTCTGCTTGGGAAACCCTTCTTCACCACTCTCATCTCATTGAGCACAGTCATCCATCGCAAACAGCAGCTTCTCCATCAAACCTGAAGCAGCCCTAACCCGAGCCGTGTATCTATCCTCCACCCCCACAACCAGCCACAATGGACCACGTTAGCATGCTGATGGAGGTAAGACACACTACTACTCCCACCACTCCCAAACTCCAAAACCAGTCAGCCCCAGCCACAAATCAATCCCACTTACTACACACCAAACGTCCCACTAACACTAATCCTCCCCCCTCAAACAGCGCGCCGCTCGGACCCAGCGCAAGTCGACGGCCCGCCGCCTGGCCACGGGCGCCATCGTCGGCATTGCCATCGCCTGCTTCGTCGTCTTCCTCGGCTTCCTGCTGTGCTGCTACTGCTGCTGCTTCCGCCGCCGCCGCCAGCGATCGCGCGAGCTCGAGGACCAGCAGCCGCAAATGTCCTCCAGCAACAACGGCGACGGCATGATGGGCAAGTTCCGCAGCATGATGCCCGGCAACCAGAACAACGGCGCCCCGCTGCCCTCCACCCCGACCGGCGGCCCCGACCAGGGCTTCCACAACCAGTACCCGCACGTCCAGCAACCCACCCCGGCGTACCGCTGAGCCTGAGTCGGTTTTAGGGTGGTTGAGGGTACCCGACCGAGGTGCCCGCCGGTAAACACTAAACAACATCGCGTCCGGACCGAGATGGGGCTACGACCTGGACACATTGGGCGGCGTCTTGGAGTTTTTCTGTTGTCTTGTTTCTTTCTTCTTTTTGCCTTTTTAGGATTTAGCATTGCGTGGGAGCCCTCTCTTTTTCTTCTTGTCATTTCTTTACGACATCACGAATTTGGTACCAAGTAGCGATTTGAAACAGTCGCACAAACAAATCTTTCTCTTTCTCTCTCTTTAACTTGATCTTCAGACGTGCCGAGCGATAATCGTGATGTACAGACGCCGAAAAAGCAAATATCAACACAATACAGATGCAAGGATCCAATCCTGTGGTTTCTTGGCATCCACACTCACAAACGGGCAGGGACAAAAATAATGCAGCGGGCCTAAACACACATCACGCGGCCTGCCCGACCATAAACTCGGCCGCCTTGCCGACGTCGCGCCCGTACTGCAGGTGCGGGGCCAGGATGCGGTTGCCGCCGTCGCAAATGTTGTCGCCCTGGCGGCAGATGACGAGCGTCTTTTGTTGACCCAGGCCCGCCACGGGCTGGCCGTTCTTGGGGTCGCCAAAGATGACGGCGCTGCTGACCCTTTGCAGCGCCGCCGCCGGCAGCTGCTCGGCCGCGTTGTGCACCAGCTGCCCGCCCTGCGAGTAGCCCGACATGACGACCTGGCTGCCGGGGCACTTTGCGATGAAGCTCTGCACCTGCTTGGCCCTGTTTTTTTTGTTGTTGTTGGTGGTGTCAGTGCCGGTGGGGGAGGGCGGGATGGATAGAGGAAGGGATGGGATGGGGAGGGATGGTGTTGTCGTTGCTTACATCTCGGCGCTGCCTTGCCTGTCCCCGCCGGCGAGGAAGCCCGGGATGTTGGCGGGGTAGTCGACGCCCTGCATGGCCACCGTCCTGCCGCCCGCCGCCTGCTTGACGGCGGCCAGGAGCGGCGGGCCGACGATGGTGCCGACGTTGCCGCCCTCGGTCGTGCCCCTCGCGAACACGATGATCATGTCGGCGCAGCCCTGCGCGTTCTTTTGGTCGAAAACGGGGGGGGGGGTTGACGGTCAGTTGCTGATACGTAGCCTACAGTGCAGCGCAGGGGGAGCACCGACTCACCTCTGTTGACCGGGACTGGCGCGCGTCCAGCTGCGGTGGCTGGGCGTCCTCTGCCGCCAGCGGGTGCGCCAGACCCAGGGTCGCCAGGAGCGTGGCGGCTAGGAGGGGGTTGGAAAACAGCATGTCGAATGTCTGGTGATGCCTGTGTGTGGGTTGATTTTGTGGATAGCAACAAGTCGCCTGTGCTTCTCGTCGGCTTGCGGGAGGAAGCGCTGTGTTGGATGGTATCTTGCTGTTGTATGGAGTGACGGCTACATCGGAAAACAGCCGCCGTGAACGATGGGATCATTTTGCATTTTTATACCAGTCATGGTGACCTGTCTATCGCAGGGAAATTGAGTGCTGGTAGGTGAAGGCTAACCACGAGCAACTTCACACACGATTTTGCAGCCAACCTCGCAATCGTTTCCCAAACCGGTATCAGTATGAGGCTCGTCCTGGATCCCGAAAAAAAGCAACGCAAGGCTGCGGGGCTCGCTGGCAGGATGACCCCTGGCTTCTGGAACTTCCAAACCACAACCCGCTGGCATGTCCATGTCCGCGATGTGCGGATTTTCGATGCTAAATGCGGGTTGCCTCGGGCGATTGCCTAAACATTTCGCGGCCCAGGAACCCAGCTGTGGGTATAATAGATACATATAGTATTTAAAGCTCCGAGTTTAGGGGTAACTATGTATAATGTTATAACCAATTCTGTTAGCGGCTGTGAGGGTGAAATGGGAAGGCAATTGCAGCGCCCGAAAGTAGTGGTGGCTTCGTGTTTTGTCATCAGCCGCTGGAGTTGTAGCGGACGGTTGCGAGGGTGGCCTGTTTTGGGAAACCTTTTCTGGCGGGAACCAACCCTGCCACACCATATTTGCACCTTTTCCAACTTTGGCAGCTTAATCCATGGATGGTGGTGGGATCGCAGACAAAAGTCTCGTCTCATGAGCTGCCCAAAAACGGCTCCCTTCTTTCATGGCCAAAAAGCAAACCTCACAACGTCACTGGGTCTCCGCTCATGCGGGCTGGCGAGAAAGAAGAATGCCCAGAGACAGCGACATCAAGAAACTGCCGTTTCCAGGATGCCTCGGGCAATTTCTGCAAAAAATCCTCCGCGGGACCATGCGGATATCTTTCCTTTTTTTTCTCCTCCCCCCTTGCGGCCATCGTTTCCATCTGAGCAAGGTGGCCCCAAATCGGGTCTAGCGCGCAGCGAAACAACTGTTTCGGGCACCAGCGACCAAAAATCCAGCCTCTGGCTGGGCCGCTTCCGGAATCATCATCATCCCTCCCCCAAACGACGACAGCAGCAACGCTCCGTTTCGGCGGCGAATCAGCAAATCGCACCTCTGGGGACGGGATGGAGGGTCGCAAGCAAGAAGACGCATGCAGCCAAGGGGGCGCGGATCATGCCGAACCCCCCAGGCATTGGCGCGGTTTTGCGTCTGCCGCCCGGCGACGGACAATGCTTGGGTGCTTGGCACGCTAGCTTCAACGTCGGCAACCCTTTGCGCCAGGCCGATCCATGCCCGCGCCGTCATGGTGTAAAGAATTGCCTTGAAGCAGTCGAGATGGACGACCAACACCCGACCCAGCGTCGAGGCAGGGACGTCCAGGCCTATCAACTTGCCAATGAAGCTAACGGCACTGGAGGCGTCCCGCAACGGAGCCAGGTTCCCTGCCAGGTCAAGCCTGGCCCGGGGGATGCAATTGGGGAAGACGATGTTGAATATGGGAGAGCAGATGGCAAGGCCGACGAGAGCCCCAAACATGCCATGTTGAGAAAGTTCGCCGTCACCAGACCCTCATCGTCGACCTTCCTGACGCTCGCCTGCACGGGCAGCATCGTGAGACGCAGCAGCGAGACGCCCTGGCCACAGAGGATCGGCAGGCCGCAGAGGATATGCACCGAGGACCCCACCTCGAAGAGGGCCAGCAGGCCGGTCCCCAGCGTGGTGATCGCCCACGAAAACCGCAGGAGCCACACGTGCCCTCCAAGTAGGGGGGACCGTCGCTATGGAGACGGCCGCGACCACGGCGCTCAGGATGCTGGTCAGCGGCAGGAAGACGGCTGCCTGGATGGCGGTCTTGAGCTGGAAGGCCTGGTAAAACAGCGGCAAGTACTGAATCAGGGAGATTAGGTCCATGCCGTGGACGAAGCCGCCAGCCGATCCAGCGCCAGGTGGCATGGGTGGAGATCAGGGCGCCGACGAAGGGGGCCGGCGATATTGCCGACGGCGCTGGGGACGACCATCAGGCCGAGGAACCTGGCGCGCTCCTCCAGCGTGGTCATGTCGGCGAGGACCACGGACGCCAGCACGTCGATGCCGCCGCCGCCGCCGCCGAGCCCCTGGAGAACGCGGCAGGCGATGACGGCGTTTACTGCCTTGGGCTAGCGCAAATACGACGGAGCTGGCGAGGAAGAGCGCCGCCGGCGCGTACAACGGGTGCTTGCGCCTGGGGACCTGGGAGAGATTGGCCCAGACGGGCTGCACGACTAGGCCGCAGAGGCTGAGGCCGCAGAGGCTGCAGCCGAGTTACCCAGAGATGGGCCTGCCGGGTGTGTCCCAAGGGGGCTAGAGGTGGGTAGAGCACGCGATTAGGGCATGGTCGGGGAGCGTGCAGGGAGGACGGTGCTCAGACAGGCCGCGTCCAGATGGAAGACGAAGAGAACCAGGGCGAGCCCGGCAAAGGCGCCCGCACGGGCTGGTAATTGACTGTCCCAACCCGCTCCCCGGACACGCGGGACTCGTCGGCCGCCATTGTTGTGCTCTTTGGCTGCTCGGCCAGCTCCGGCGAATCCCCGTCGGCGACAGCGGCAGTGGTCTCGACATCAGGACCGCCGGCAGTCTTGGCACCGGGGTGATGCATGGCGAACAAGCCTTGCTTGAAATTGAGGACTCGATGAGGCGTCAACGGGTGGCGAGGGGTGTGTGCGCTAGAGTTGGAATGTGCTCAAGCCAATCGACGTTTGGTTCCTTTCTTTCGGAGAGAAATTCTGTCGTGGGCACTCATGGACATCAAGGCAGAAGAAAGGGGCCACCGCCAGCACTTGGGTTACATGGTGGGATATCTAAACGGGAACGGCGCGCACTGGGGCTCGGAAATGCAGAGCAAAGTCTGCATGGGCTTGTAGGAAAACACTTTTTTGTCAGTCAATATCTTCTCCCTGTACCGTTTTCGGGGCATCACCTTACCAGCCACAAATTCGTCTTGAACTTCCATTTCTATAAACCACCCTGTTATCCAAGTCGCTGTCTATGTCTTTATTGGCAGCGTAGCTATACAAATACTTGTCGTCAGTATCCGCCTTGGTATACGACACCAGACTCGGGTTTTATTCCCACCTTGGAGCTACCCCATCTCCAACCTTTGGAATCGCGATACGGCTTAGGACGCCGCTGGGGTTGATAGAATGGGGGCAGGTTGGGCGACATGCCTCGCACGTTTACACAAAGTCTATGGAAAGGATGGTGCGGCACTGGTCGCCCTTGGGTGCCGCCGCGGTCGACATCGCGGACACGATGTCAGATAGACAATTCGGGGACGGGTTGCCTTCTTATTGCCTCTGATCTCTCCCCAGGGCGTACGAAAGCGTGCTGGCTAGCCTGGACGGAATGGACGTTGGCGATGCAGCTCCCTGCGCAGTCAAACGGAGGGAGCTGGGGAACAAACGAGGTTGCTAAGAGATTACATCATGGAGAGTCAGGATCATCCAGGGAATACAGCAGGTACCAAGTACGGTCTCCTAGTATGAGAGTACGCAGAAAGGAGGCTAGGAGCCCGGCCAGAAACTTGCCGGCGCAAAGGTACAAACGTCACTCAATCACACCCAGGTCAGATATGCCCCTCAGCGCCATGCTGCGCGCGTCTTCATCAGCCGCAGTGAAGCTTGTCCGACTCTTGGCGGTGGTTCCCAGCCCCTGCTTTGCCGACCTTGAGCAAAGGCCGCGCTCCCGCCTGTGTGTGCACCCTCCTTGGGAGATAGCTGCCTATCGAGCTTGGTAGGCACCTAGCTGCCTGGGGAGGGGGGTCTGACGGCCCCTCTGCATAGACGCCCCCAAGCTATCATATTTATCGACGCCGACATTATGATTTCTGACCAAGGCCGCCGGATCAGCTCCCCGTCAAGTTCAAGTGGGAGCTGGCGGATCCTGACCTGAATGATACCCGACTTCATTTCGCACGGCCGCCACAAGATTGCTGTCTTGCGAAGCACCAGCACTGCCCAGCCCAACCTCGGTCGTCCTTTGGTCTACCCACCCACTCCTGTCTGCCCCTCCGAGGAGCGCCGTCAGCCATGCTGTCAATAGACATGCAGCCTTGTCGGCCAATGATCACGGCGAGATGGCGCGGCGCGGCGCGATTGGTGCGTTGCCTGTTTTCTTTTTCGTATCCAAGACGCGGGGGAGTCGGAACGGCGGCATCTGCTTCGCGGCTCGAATTCTCGGGTTCCGAATGACGGCAGAGGGTGCCATGTGGCGTGCGTTGGCCATGCACATGCAACAACCAAAAGCTACCCACCGTTCGGCAGCCCATCGATCCATCTGAGTCACAGCCCAACCTGTCGCCCGACTCAGCAAATCGGGGGCTCGTTTATAAAACAGCCGCGGCAGAGGGACACTGGACGTCAAGACTCACTCGAATATCAACCTCCCTTTCAGCATCCTCCAGAGCTCAGACACGGTCTCCCCTCCCTCAAACCCCAACTGGCAGAAAACGTCCCACCCCCACCCCCCGAGACAACATGCCTTCCACCTTCGCCAAGGCCGAGATCTACAAGGCCCTGGCCTCCGTCAGCGCCAGCCAGCGCGTGCTCGACGTGCTGACGGAGCTGCACGGCGAGGCGCTGGACGAGCCGCCCTTTGTGAGCACCGACATACCCGACGACGCGAGCCCGGCGGCGGTGCAGGACGCGCGGCAGGCGCGCACGCGCGGGCTGTACGTGGCGCTGGACCCGGAGAAGTGCGCGCTCGCGTACCTGCTGCTGCGCGCGTCGGGCGCCCGCACCGTCGTCGAGGCCGGCACCGGCTTCGGCCTCTCCACCATCTACCTCGCCCTCGCCGTCGGCCAGAACGCCGCCGCCGCCGGCGTCGCCCGCCCCGGCCCCGCCGCGAGGGTCATCGCCACCGAGCTGGAGCCGGCAAAGGCCGCGCGCGCGCGCGAGAACTGGGACCGCGCCGGCGTCGAGGACGTCTCGCGCTGGATCGAGCTGCGAAAGGGCGACCTGCGGCACACGCTGAAGGAGAACATGCCGTCCCAGGTGGACTGTCTCCTACTCGACAGCAAGTTTGCTCCCCACTCCCAAAATAGTATTCTGGCAGTGACAAGAGGGTCCTTTTTTTTTTTTGGCTAACCAGTAGTAACCAAAACACCAACAAAAACAGTCTGGACACCGCTGGCACTCCCAACCCTCAGGCTGGTCAAGCCGTATCTCAAGAAGGGAGCTATAGTGCTTGCCGACAATTTCGAGGCCGCAAAGGAGGGTTACAGGGAGCTCCTGGAATACGTGAGCCGGCCGAACAGTGGATTCAAGGGTACCATCCTGCCGTATGCCGGTGGATTGCAGATGCTTGTGTATGTAGGCTTAGACTGAAAGGCCCTCCTCCCGTGGGCCGTACGGATTGATGTGTCGATCAAGATACCACCATCCATCATGCTTCATCACCCTTCACCTCCTTTTCCTTTGCGACCGAAACCGTCTCCTCCGCGTCGAGGACCCTGCGCTTCTCCTCCCTGTGCGTCAGATACGACAAGCCGACGGTCCAGACGACCAGCGCGATGGAGGTGGCGATCATGGCCCACATGCCCCTCTGCAAGCGAACCTGAATTAGCACGCGAACTCGACCGAGAGAAGGAGAAAGAAAAAAACTCAAAAAAAAACTCACAATGAACCAAGGCGCCATGGAAGCGCCGTAAAACACAATGCTCCACCACGAATTGACGGCGCTGCTGCACAGGTTCATGCCGGCGAGCACGACGCCGCGGAAAACGGGGTCCTCGTGGCGCATGGCGTCGTTGCACCAGGCGAAGAAGGTGGCCTGGCAGGCGTAGACGGCGCCGGCCCAGTAGTAGGCGGCGAAGACGACCGACGTGGACGCGGCGCTGGCCGGGTCGCGGGACGCGGCCAGGACCATGGCGGACGTGGCGACGCCGACAACGCCGATAAAGTAGGCGACGAGGTACCGCTTGCCACCCAGCAGGTCCGTCAGGGTGGCCCAGAAGAGGGTCGAGACGATGCCGACGGCCGGCACGCCCGTCGGGTAGTTGTTGAGCTGCGCGACCGTGTACGACCCGGCCGGGTGGCTCTTCATGTACAGGCCCAGCAGCGAGTTGGTGCTAAAGGACTCGGTCTCGCCCGCGATGACCCAGAGCACGACAAAGCCCCACCAGTACCACGACGCGAGCACCTTTTTGGCGAACCCGAGCGTCAGCGGCGACCGCTCTTCCCCGACCGGCGGCACGCGCGCCGCCGCGAGCGCCTTCTCCTCGGCCGTAAGGTAGAAGGCGGTCGTGGCGTGGGGCGTGTCGGGGAAGAAGAAGAAGCCGTAGGCGGCGATGGGGACGACCAGCAAGCCGTCGACGATGAAGAGCCAGCGCCAGCCGCTGAGGCCGTGCAGGCCGTCCATGCTGCTGTGGATGCCCGTTTGGATGAAGCCGCCGAAGAAGGTGCCGGCCAGGCCCGAGGCCGTGAAAATGCCGCTGCGCTTGCCGAGCTCGCGCTCCGTGTACCAGGCGCCCAGGATGTAGTGCGTCCCGACAAAGGTGGAGGCCTCGGCCAGGCCCTGGAAGAAGCGGATGGCCATGATGGACGTCGGGCTGCGCACGCTGGCGGTGCACATGGTCAGGGCGCCCCAGATCATCATCATCAGGGGGAACCAGTAGCGCGGCTTGACATAGTGGAGGGACAAGTTGGACGGCACCTGCCCGAGAACGTAGCTGTGTCCTGTGTTAATGGGACCGAATATTTCCATCATCAGCTGCAGTGGTGTGCGACGTACCCGATGGTGAAGCAGGTGTTGATCTGGTTTAGCTGGTCTCCGACGAAGCCCAGCTCCTCTTTCATGCCTGAGACGTAGGCATTGTTGATGTTTGTTCGGTCAAGCTGGCGATGGTCAGCTGTGGTCAGCTGTGGTCAGGCTGGGCGAGACAGTAGGAAACCCACGTAGTTGACCAGATAGCTTAGGCAGCAAAAAGTCAGGATGAAGAAGTCGATCTGGTCGCACTGGTCAGCCTGGTTTTTGAGAGACCAGTGGTTGTGGCTGCATGCACGGCCTGACCTTTTGGATGAGCTTGCGCTCTCCGGGCCGATACTCGACGTGCAGGTATTGCTTGACTTTGTTGAGCGCCATTGTAAGATGCGCCGTGCGTGGCGGCCGTTGAGCGACAGGAGAGCTGCGACGCACGTCGACGCTCCGGCAGCCGCCGTGCCGAGGTTGGGCGGCCGCCCTCTTTATGGGGTGTCGAAGCGCGGTTGTGAATTGGCGATCGGGGTCGGGCGTCGGGCGCCAGGTGTTATCGTGACCCATACAGCCGACCCCGTCTAGATAAGATAATAGGGCGCCTAGCTATCCCGTAAGGCCCAAGGTCTAGCGGAGGCGTCGCGTCATTACACAGTAAAATGGCCTCGTGATACCAAAGCGCATTTCTGGCCCCACCGTCCTGTTTCCGTCCGATCTCGCTGCGCCCCCGCATCTCGATCCGAGGGAAGCCTGCGGCGCTACCTAGGGGCCTGGGCTGGTCGTCCCAGCCATTTCCCGAGGTGCCGCCGGGAGGACTGGGCCTGCGGGGAAGCGTGATAGGCCTATGACCGGTCGGCGTCCGACAGCTTTACTGTTGACCAGGGGCCTACCTGTCCCCAGGCAGACCAGCAGCACAGACAACCACACCGTTTACGGAAGGCTCCCCAATGTACTCAAGCTCGAGGAGCTGCTCGCTCAGCTGCTCGAGCCTTTCGGCCCAGGGGTGGAGGATTTGGACGAATTGTGCCGCGAGAAGGGGATTGATGAGGAGTTCAGGAGGAGGGCGCTCGGGAACACACGTTCCCCGCATGGCCCCTATTGCCTCCGCGAGGTCACCATGGCCGCCGCGAACCTTGCCCTGCCCTGCTTTGCTCATGGCGACGCGATCGCAGAGTTCCGCTTCCCGCCCGGCCGCGCATCGTCCGCGCCCGACCGGCGCATCATGGTCTCCCCCGCCTCGGACATAAAGTTGTAGGTGATTTTGGGCCAAGCGGCCAGGGCGGCCTGAAGCTTCGGATCCTTCACAGGCTTGGCGATGCTGGTTTGGTAGAGTCGGAGGAGGTCGGGTGGGATCAGGGTGTGGTCCGGGTCGCTTTCGGGGTCCATCCAGCGAGCGATGACACGCATCACCAGGGCCTGCAGTCCCCAATAACGTCCGATCGGATGGTTGAGTAGCTCCTCCCAATCCTCGCCGTCGCCTGCCGCAGCAATAATGGGAGATAGGGAGATGTCGACCGGTTTATATTCGTTAGCCCTCATGCAGCAGTTTGCAACCATCGATCGGACTCCGTTTTTCAAGTTTTTGGCCAGAGTTGTGAGCAATGGGCCGGGTTCGTTCATACTGCGCGAAATGTAGCGGATGCCCGGGTGTCCCAATATAAGGGGGACGACGACCTGTGGCTGGGTGGGGACGATGGCCTGTGGCTCGGTGGGGACGACATCCTGTGCCTCGTTGTCGATGGGCTCGCGTTTGGTTGGTTGGAGGCGGCAGATGGCCAGCGTAATGGCTGCAGCAACGAGGGCACCACAAGCTGCAAAGCCAACGGCGGCGGCGGCTGGGAAAGACATTGTGGCGGTGGAGGGAACCTTGGAGAAAATGAGATAGATGCTGGCGAAGAGAAGGGTGGCCGGGTGATGGGCTATTTGAATGGTTGAAGAAGAGAGACAGCAAATGCGAAAGAAAAGACACCAAACACAAGACCCGCCGAGAAGGGAAAGACGTGTGTGGTGGAGAATGGGAGATAGGAGAAGGAATGAGGCATGAAGGAAGCTGCCCGCCTTTCTCACCCTTTGCATCCAGCCGCAAACGGCCAATCCCTGCCCAGGCTCTTTTGCTAGAAGCCCAGGCGTCTCTTTATTCAGGTCGGGTCGCGCGACCTTTGCTCAAGTGGGCAGCGTTGACAGGAGCCGGATGGGCGTCACTTCGGGTGAGGATGCGGCACACATCATGATACATAGAAGCATCAATCACCTAGATATGCTGGGTATCGCTGGTACCTCTCCACGAGCTACCCAAGCACATACCTACCTAGCAAGCCGCCCAAAACACCTAGTAAGGATACACGTAGACGGGTAAGGCAGATACCTAAAGGGTTCCGAGGGGAGGGCAATTCCCCAGCTGGTGTCCACTCTTCCTGACGAAAGCCCCTCATCCTTGCCTTTCTCCAAGCTCCGTTTCTCCCCAGCCTTCGTTTGCCCGTCGGGACGGCCTGCTTTGACAAAACACATTCCAACCCGGGCTGCTCGACACGTCTGGTTGAGTACGGCAGACCCCAACCGAACAAGTCAATCACTCTGTCGAACTGAAGCATCCGACCAATTGCCCAACATGTCGGCGGCGACCGCAACGGCGGCGGCGGTGGCCGAGGCCAACCAGTGCCGGAAGATGGTTTCCATCGACATCGGGACTACTTGTAAGCTGCGCAACCTCAAACACCAGCTTACCCCTTATCACGCTATCCTAACAGTGCTCCGCATGCAAACTATCAGTCACAAAGTGTGCACTTGTCCATCTGAAGCCGGGACATGAGCACGAGATCCAAGTGGTCATCGGCTAGCCCGGAGACGCGACAGACCCGATGGTGCCAAGCTTGCTGTCGTACAGCGAGGGCGATGACGGCGAGCTCATCACATACGGCTTTTTAGCCAAGGAGGACATCGCCCAGGCTAAGGGCAAGGCCATCTACGGCATGTTCAAGAATGAGTTTCCTGACGGCATGGTGAAGCCACTGCGTGGCTCAGGCCCCAAGAGGAGCGCGGAAGAGCTCTTCCTCGCCATGGCGCAGAAGCTTCTCGGCGACATCAAGGTCTTCTACAACAAGAACAGGCACATGGGCGCCTACCAGGCCCCCCCATGGGACGAGGCCAACATTGACTTCGCCTTGAGCGTCCCCGCCTCAGCCGTATTCGCTGATACAGCCACATCCGCCGATGCAGCCACATCCGCCGATGCAGCCACATCCGCCGATGCAGCCACATCCGCCGATACAGGCACATCCACTTATACGGGCAAGAGGCTTCGGCAGATTCTCATCAAAGCTGGATTCGACTCGGTTGATGGCCACTCCGTCCTCGAGGACGTGATTACAGAAAGCCAGGCCGCAGCCATTTATTCGCTGTACACAGCCACCAGCCCCGATATTTTCCAGGTATGTGGCCGATCGAGCTACCGTTCGCCGCAAAGGTCTATAAACAATCAAGGCTGCTAGCTGTCTGACACAGCCGATGCCTTAAATAGGTCAACCAGACGACCATTGTCGTAGACGCTGGGGGTGGGACATCGGTACGTACCATATGGGAACCTCAGGTAGAAACGCTCGTATGGATACCGACGGGCTGACAAGCAACCGCACCACATGATACAGGATCTTTGCGTCCTCCGTGTGGAAGACCCGGTCGCGCGGACGGTCACGCTTTAATCTGTTGATCCTATCGTCGGAGTGAAGATTGGCCCGACTTGGGTCGATCGAAACCTCGAGGATCACTGTGGGCCTTCCTTCGCCAATCCTATTGCCAATTCCATGCCGAGTCGGCCGCACGATCGATCGTGGGCGACCCCAATCTAGAGACTCGCAAGATCAAGATCTGCCAAGGAACAATCTCACATCAGGCTTTGGACATCGATGTCGCGAGTTGCCCCGAGAATTGTGAACATAGAAAGAACGACAAAGCCGTCGATCCCACTCGGTCGCTGATCGAAGGCCTGTCAATGGGACAGCTCACCGGTGGCATGGACACGGTGTCAATCAAGGAGTAAGTCTAGCCCCCCAGCTCTCCATCTGCGGTGATGGCCGCCCGGGCCTCATCTCCAGAGGGAGCACCCTTTTCAGCTCCGGGAATACCTTGGCGTGCGTACTAATACCCGTACCCGAAGCGAGCTACTCAAGAGGCTTTTCGACGACGAGGTGCTTGGCGTGTCTAGAATGGGTCGAGCGTGCCTGAAACGGCAGCTCGACATGATGATAGAGGACGTGTTTGTATCTGGCAAGGCCCCCGACGGCGTTGTCGACCTGGGGGTGTCGAGGGGCCTGGCCCCCGACTATCTATGCGTCGACCGGATCCTCCTGACTGGCGGCTTTGGATCCTCGCCCTACGTCCTCGAGACTCTCAAGGGAACGCTGCTCAAAGAGCGCGATGTCGCTAACGACGGTTGCGCGGGCGACGGCCTGGTGTCGGACCCACGCGGCGGATTGGGTCCAGTGCATTTGAACATCAAAAACCTTGACTTCATTGTCTCCAAGGAGCCCCGCCTTTGCGTCTGCAAAGGAGTACTCGAATACCACATCAAGAAGCAGGAGGATGAAAAGAAGGAGGAACAGCTTCAGCAGCTTTAGGAAAAGCAACAGCAGCTCCAGGAGGAGCCGCACCAGCACCAGCAGCTTCAAAAGCAGCACCAGCAACAGCTTCAGGAGCAGTACCAGCAGCTTCAAAAGGAGCAGCAGCAGCTTCAAAAGCAAAAGCAGAAGCTCAAAGAGCAGGAGCAACAGCTCCAGGAGCACCAGGAGTAGGAGAGAAAGTCTCGTTGCGGGGTGCGGGTCACTTGGAATAGAATGAAGAAATTCGCGCGCGGAAAGTGATTGCAGGATTACGGCCAGGGCTGCTAAACGCACAGAAATGACAACAATGTGGTGAAGATGGAGACGAGTTAGATGAGGAAAAGGAATCGCAAATACAGGAGCGGTTGTAAAGACAGGAAGGTTCTGATACAGAATCCACAAGATTGCAGAAATAACAAAAACGGGAATCGCAAATACACGAGCGGCGGTAAAGACAGGGAGGGTCTGATCGAGGATCCACGAAATGCAAACACAATAATCGCCATGTACATTACAGGCACTCGCTCTTCCACCTTGGGCCATCCGACATCAGTTCTCCTAACTCTTATTGATGTCACCGCTCAGGAGGCCCCGGTAAGCCTCAAGTTCCTGGATAGCCTCGGCATGGGTCTCCTTATCGGCCCAGGCCTTGAGATGGCACAGAAGCTTCACCTTGCCGTTCTCGGCGCTGCCGATATGGGCCTCGAACTTGGCGTTAATCTTGGCCACACGAATGCGTGTGTTCCTCTCATTGTACATCATATTGAGGCGGACGATATGGGAGGTGAGCTCCCTCTCGGCAAATCGCAGACTCCGGACAAATTTGATCTTGCCCGCCACGTCGTTCAACAGCACCAAAAGCTTTTGAAAGCGATCGGGGACCTCTTTCCAGGCCCTCCACATCTGGTAGAGCTCTATAATGGCAGTCGCAATCCCAAAGATGCCCTAGAATACGGCCAGGGATGTCGAGAGGGGGTCCATGTCGACGGTTGTGCCTTGTTTGGGCGAGTGCTACAAGGCCGGGCTCGCTGTTGCAGATGGACAAGCCTCCCGGGGTCGGGGTCTGGAGCTCCCGACGGCGACCTGATGCGGACCGGAAGGAGTGGGGCAGCCGCGGTAGTGTGCCGAAGAGCCAATGGTATACTCCGGGAGCGATGGTGCCGGCGATGATGGAGATGCGGTGTCTGCGCGCTACTGAGGGGGCTCCCAACGACGGCTTGACGGTGGTTGCGAAGCGGGCTAGCCGCGGCGGTGTGCTTGGAGTCGATGGACCCCTCGGGCAGCGAGCGATGCTACCACGAAAGTGTGTCCGTGGAGGAACGTGGTGGGCGGTCCGGCCGCGACGGAATGCTGAAGGTCCGATGGCCCTCCTGAGGGTGGGGAGGTTGTCGGTGGGGATCTGGAGTTGGAGCGCTACTCGGGGGCTCTAAGAGGCGGCTTGACGTGGGATGTGATTTTTATGCGCAAAGTGGAAGTGCTCAGGGTGTGATGGTTGTTTGTGAGGTGCTCCGAGTCGACCGATGGAGTGGGAAATGGGAGAAGAGTTTGTGTATGAAGTGATGCTACGACAAGTTCAAGTTGGCGAGGGATGGGGGTCCTTATACTGCCTGCAAGGCAAAGGTCGGTGGAAGCGACGTGGGCACGGCCGGGAGGCCGAGATGGCAGGCAGGCCCTGCCTCTTGGTACGGAGATGTGCCAGTCGCAGAACCCGAGATGACTTTCTTTCAGAGACGCCACCATCACGGACCGCAAGGAGGGCGTGGCTGCATAAGAAACACGCTAGGAAGCTCAGGACAAAGAGATATGGCCTGCGAATAGCTCCATGTTTGGCTCCTTCCATGCGATCCGGCGAGCCTGGACCAACAAAGGCCGTTTCAGCATGCTTGACAGCGGGATGGGAAAGGAGGCGTCGTGTAATAACATTACGAGCTGAGTGGTCGGATAGGCAGGTGACAGTATGCGAGAAGCACGCACGACTTTTTCCCAGCCCGCGGGGACATATGGCCGGGGTGCTGGGATCGATGCCAGGCCAGCTAGGCATCATGGCGGCGTGGCCAGCTGTCAAAGAAGGAAAAGGGAAAGAAAAAGGAAAGAAAAAAAAGAAAAGGGGCTGTGAGGAGGACTCCTTGCAGGGGCACCCATCCGGTATCCAAAATAGCTTACAGAAGAAGGAGAAGAAGGAAAAGAAGAGATGGGGAGATCCTGACAGAAGCTATTCTAGCCATCCTCGACTTCTACGAGTTTTTTTTTTTCCTCTCCCTGGCGGCGTCCTCGCCCCGTCTCAGTTCGACTGCTGGCCAAACCACTGGCTTGATCGAGCTTGACATCAATGGGTGTAATCAGACGGTGTGACTGGTCGAAGTAGACTGGACTAACGGGAGCTACTGAAGCTCAGAGTTGCGTCCCGTCCGAAAGGGGCCATGACCTACAGCCCTGTCGCGTTGCTCAAGGAAAAAAGTAGACCTGAAATTTGGGCAGCGTGTCTGTCTATCATGGGGGTCCCTCATCCACCTACCAGCCCACCTAGGTCAGGTGGGGGTGGATGTCCTTATCTTATCTAGGAGGGCGGGGCAGCTGGTGCATCTTGTAGGGATCCCATCCGATCACCACCACAGTGAATCCCCCGCCAGCCCGCACACATGCAGCATCCCATCCACGCCCACCTTTGTGACCGAAAAACCTCCCCACCTGCCTACCCTAGCTAGGCACCTAGGTGTAGGTACCTAGGCACCTACATGTACCTGGTATCTATCGCACGAGACCAGGATGGGTCCAATATCGGCTGTCGTATCTCCGCTCCCCCGCCTCCAAATCTCCCCGCAAGAGCCCCCCTCCCATTCTCCGCACTGCGATGAATCACCGGCCGAAAATGCGTCCCGATAATGCGTCCCCGAGCCCACGAGTGTAGTCTTGATGCTGCCGATGACCGGCCCGACGCCCTGATCTTGCTCGTAGCTGCTGAGGAGGTAGCCAAGTCGGGCGCGTACTTAATAGGCATATGCGCCCAGAGGATGCACCCATTCTCCCTTGTACCATAAGACGAGGCTGCAAGACTTTTCTTTTTTCTTGGCTACTTTTGTTGTCTTGGCCCAAGTGCCCGATTTGAAACCCAGCAAAGAACACAGCCCGCCTGTCACAAAAAAAAAAAAAAAAAGCAAAGAAAAACGAAATGGGAAGCTTGGGCGCCAACAAATCCACCGCTTGGGAGGTCGCTGGTGCCAGCAAACGGGAGGCCCTTGCTGCTTCAATCCCCCCCGAATGGCGTGTACCAGCAGAGCTCCTCCCTCCAAACTCCCAGCAGGATGTTACCGGCTGGCCTGAGGCCTCCGGCTGGTTTACCGTGAAGGAGATCGCCATCACCAATAGCACTGCTACCGAGCTGCTTCCCAGGCTCGCTTCTGGCGACCTCAAATGCGTCGACGTGACAAGGGCATTTTGCAAGAGAGCCGCCGCGGCGCATCAGCTGGTAGGACTTTCCGCTTTCCAGTACCGTCATCTCCCTCCGCCCCTGAAGTAGCGCTCAACCCCCATCGCGCCAGACAAACTGCCTCTCCGAGACGTGCTTCGACCGCGCCCTGGCCACGGCCCGCGCTCTGGACGAGCATCTCGAGCGCACCGGCCAGCCGCTGGGTCCCTTCCACGGCCTGCCTGTGTCGCTCAAGGACAACTTCAACCTCAAGGGTCTCGATGCCACCGTAGGCTTCGCGTCCCACGTCGGCTGCCCTGCCGAACGCGACGCCGCCCTGGCCGAGCTCCTCGAGGGGGCAGGCGCCGTCTTCTACGTCAAGACCAACGTCCCGACGGCCATGATGATCGCCGAGTCAGTCAACAACGTCTTTGGCCGCACCGTCAACCCGCGCAACCGGGGCCTGACCAGCGGCGGTAGCTCCGGCGGCGAGTCGGCCCTTATCGCCATGAAGGGCAGCCCGCTCGGCGTGGGCACCGATATTGGTCAGCATCTACCAGCGGCCTTGGCGACGCCAAACGAGTCCTTTGCTAATGTCGACGTCGAACAGGCGGCTCGCTGCGTATCCCCGCCGCCTGCACCGGCATCTTCACCCTCCGCCCTTCTTTCGGCCGCTTCCCCACCCTCGGCTGCCGCTCTGGTATGGCCGGCCAGGAGGCTGTGCAGTCAGTCAACGGGCCCATGGCGCGAACCGTCGCAGATCTCGAGTACTACAGCCGCGCCGTTACCGACCGGCAGCCGTGGCTTCACGATCCGCGCTGCCTGCCTATTCCGTGGCGAGGCGTGACACTGCCCGCCAAGCTGAGGGTCGCCGTGATGTGGGACGACGGCATCGTGAGGCCGACAGCGCCCGTCGCGCGCGCCCTCCGTGAGGCGGTCGGGAAGCTGCGTGCCTCTGGCGCCGAGGTCGTCGACTGGGACCCCGTCGACCAGCAGCAGGGGCTCAGCCTCCTCGAGCGCATGTTCGTCGCCGACGGCGGTGAGTCGATCCGGCGCGAGCTCCAGCGGACGGGCGAGCCGTGGAGGCCCGAGATGGAGGCCCACTCGCGCGCCAAAGAGGTCAGCACGTACGAGATGTGGCAGATCCACCTCGAGCGCACCGCGTTCCAGAAGAAGTACCTCGACCGATGGAACGCGGCCGGCATCGATGCCATCCTGTGCCCCACAACGCCGTTTGCCTCTGTCAAGAATGGCACCTACAAGCACGGTGGGTTCCGTCTGTTTCCCCGCTCTTCCTCCCGTGGACTAACTCTTGGGTTTCCAGTTGCTTACACCGGCGTCTTCAACGTTCTCGACTACTCTTGCGTTTCGTTCCCGACAGGCCTTTTGGCAGACAAGAACCTCGACGTGCCCGATGCCACAACCCAGCCCCTGAGCCCCATGTGCCAGGCTGTCCACTCAGATTGTAAGCTATTGACTCTCGGACCTTGTGTGAACGCCGCTGACTCGGACACCAGATGACGCCGACGCGGTCCACGGGATGCCTGTTAGTCTACAGCTGGTTGCTCGACGCCTAGAAGAGGAAAAGGTGATAGCCATGATCAAACATATCCTGGATATCATTTAGACACCGCCTGGAACCAACAAAGGAATAGCATGGAACTTGCCAGCCCACAGTCGGCTTTCCCCACGGTTTGCTGGGCTGCCTCTGTTTGCCTGACCAGTCATCGGCGTCTCGATGTGTGCCACATGTGTGCCGCATGTATTCCTTGTTTGTTTTTTCACGCAGCGCCCATGGACATGGGGACCCGCAGACCCAGGCAGAAGCAGCCGCCACAAAAACATGCAACAAGCCATGATCCTATAAAAGGATGCAGGCTTCCAGGTCTCTGCCATGAGCTCCGCAAGCCCTGCCCTTCCACTCACCCTTCACGAGAAAAACCCGAAAATGGTCTCTGTCGACGCTCTGAAGTCTGCCTTGCGGCAGCGCCCGGATGGGGACGCCCCTAGAGCGTGTTTGTCTGACTTGCAATACAGTCAAGCCCACCGCATCATACGTATCGCAGAGTCGGGAAACTACAACAACTTCATTTTCCCCCAGCTATCATCCCTTCTCGCCGCTCTCCCTGGGCAGGGCGGCGAGCTCTCCGTTCTCGAGATCGGACCTGGGCCAGAGACGACAATCGCGTCCATGCCCGACCTAGGAACTCGCCGAAGGGTTGTCAAGTACGAGGCGTACGAGTGCAATGGATTGTTTGCCGAACACCTGGAGGCGGGTCTACAGTCCCGATCCAAGTTGCCTAGTCTTGAGTGCCCCCCAGCCGTCCATCGACAGCCGTTCAGCCTGGATCTTGACATCTTCTCGCAAGAAAAGCCCAAATTCGACCTCGTCCTATTCTGCCGCAGCATGTACGGCATGAACCCCAAGGCCCGCTTCGTCGAAAAGGCCGTGCAGCTGCTCACCAAGGGCGGCATCGTTGCCGTCTTCCACCCCGATAGGACGCTAGACCTTCCAGGCGTCCTCTGCCATCAGGTTGCGACCTGGCCCGAGGGCTGCCTTGCCTTGCCGGATGATGACCAGACTCTGGCGGCGGCTGCCTCCTTCCTTGCAGGGTGCTGTGTGCCTGGAGGCGATCCCGAGGATGAGTGGAGGACGCTATGCAGACGCCTAGGCCGCCGCGACAGGAAGCGGTCGGGAGAGCTTCTCTTTGAGGCTCCTCAGATCATGATGGCCTTCAACAAAAGCGCCGGACTGACGTCTGGGCTCCCGATGGAGATGCTCGTGGGTGAAACGCGAGTCAAGAATAGGGAGGCAAGTCTCCGCCGGCCGGCAGATGTAGCCAAGCCGGCGACAATCGAGGACGTCCAGCAGATCGTCCGCTGGGCCATATCGCGGATGGTGGGACTTACGGTGATTGGAGGGGGACACAGTGGCCACTGCCAGCAGCCTGGCATCCTCGCTCTCGACATGAGGGCTTTCAGCAAGATCCAAATCACCCCCGGTGGTGACATGGAGAGGCTGCTCATAGCCGAGGCCGGCTGTACCAGCGGCAGAATCATCCAGGCGGCCATGGCTGATGGCTTGACAGTGCCTCTGGGGAGCCGGCCAAGCGTTGGCGCCGGCCTGTGGCTCCAGGGCGGGATCGGCCATCTCTCGAGGCGCTACGGCCTGACGTGCGATGCCATCATTGGCGCCGTCGTCGTCAGCCTCGTCGACGGGTGCGTCCTGCGTCTCGGCCGCGTGCCAAACGAGTTCTTGCCTAGCAACTCTGAGGAGTCCAGCCATGGGGTTGATCTTCTATGGGCACTCAAGGGCTCCGGAACCAACTTCTACATCGTCGTCAGTGTGGTCTTCAAAACGGTCCCCCACGTCGCTCACGATGTCCGAAACTGGGATAGCCTGATGGGCAATGCTGCAGAGGCGCATCACAAGCTCGTCAAACTGGACGAGGCCATTGGCAAACTTGAGCGGATCAAGGCTGCAGATGTCTACCTCTTCTCGAACAACGGCCAGTCCCGTCTTGGCATGACGTTGTACAGCCCTTCGGCGGCGGGCGAGCGGATGGGTGAGACCGAGGGCGTAATCCCAATACTGGGGCACCACACCCAAGTCATCAAGGAGGTGGATGGAATGAGGCTGTTTGAAACGGACATGTACATGAAGTTGATGCATGGAGGCCATGGCGGGAATAAGTTCTCGGCTTTCAAGCGGTGCGTATTCCTCAAGAGCATATCGGATAAGGCCGTCCGCAACGAGCTCCTCGCCGCCCTCGACACCCGCCCTTCCCCCTACTGCTATATTCACCTCGTCCACGCCGGCGGCGGCGCCGTGAGCGACGTTGAGGTTGGCGCAACGGCGTTTGGTTGCCGTGACTGGCGTTTCGCCTGCAATATCGCCGGCGTCTGGCAGCGCGCAGATGCCGACGCCGACGCCGACACTTGCACACGCTGGGTGTATGATGTCTCCCACAAGCTGCTCCCGCTGGGCAGCGGGGCCTACGGCGCCGACTTGGGCCCGGACCCGCGCGACGCGGCCCTGGCAGCCCGGGCGTTCGGCCCCAACCGCGAGCGCCTAGTCCGGCTCAAGCGCGTGCTTGACCCGCACAGCGTGCTCCCCTTCGCCTGCCCGCTGATGGGCCCGCTATCAAGGCCGCGGCTCGTCGTGGCCGTGACGGGTGCGCACGGCGCGGGCAAGGACTTTTGCGCGGCCGCCTGGGCGTCGACGCTCACCGCCGCCGGTGTTCCAGCGCGCGTCGCCAGGATAAGCGACGCTACCAAGCGCGCGTACGCCGCCGCCGCCCCGGGCATCGACGCCCGGCGCCTTCTGATGGACGACAACCGCGACTACAAGGAGCAGCACCGCGCAGCGATGGCGGCCTTTTACAGCGCCCAGCTCGCGGCCCGCCCCGGCCTTCCCGAGGAGGTGTTCGCCGAGCTGGCGAGTAGTGTCGGGACAGCCGAGGTACTGTTCGTGACGGGCATGCGCGACGAGGCCCCCGTCGCAACCCGCGCGCACCTGGTCCCCTGGGCGCGCGTCATCGAGGTGCGCGTTGCTGCCACGCCCGAGCTGCTGGCCATGAGGCGCGGCGTCCACGCTGCGACGACCGTTAATGGCGGGCCTACTGTGGCGCCGCCGCCTGACTGGCGGCCCTGCCTCGTCTTCGACAACAACGCTGGCGGGCCCGACGGTGCGGCCGCGTTTGCGCGGTCCCACATCCTGCCTCTGCTCGACCCCGACGTCGATCGCCTGCGCGACATGGTCCCGGCCGTGCCCGGCTTCCCGCGCGCCGGTGTCCAGTTCCGCCACGTGCTGAGCATCGTCGAGCGGCCGGACGGCCTGCGCCTATGCACGTCGCTACTTCAGGGCCGGCTCCGCGGGGGCGGGCGGCCGAGCCCCGGCGCCGTCGTGGGCTGCGAGGCGGGTGGGTTCGTCTTCGCGGCGGGCCTGGCGGCGGCGCTCGACGTGCCGCTGCGCCTCGTCCGGAGGGCCGGCAGGCTGCCACCGCCCACGGTTTCGGTGGCTGGCACGCGGTCGTACATTTCTTCCGCCGCCGCCGGCGAGGAGGATCGGAGCGGGGGGGACTTGGGGCTCGAAATGGGGCGCTTCGGCGACTTGGCCGGCAGGCCCGTCGTCGTGGTGGACGACGTGCTCGCGTCGGGGACGACGCTCCGTGCCGTGCTGGCGCTGCTTGCCAAGAACGGCGTCGAGCCGCGGGACGTCAAGGTTCTGGTCGTGGCCGAGTTCCCGGCCCACCGCGGCCGCGAGGCGCTGCGCCGGAGTGGCTTTGGAATGGTCGGCGTCGAGAGCCTGCTGACGTTTGAGGGGACCTGACGGAGATGATGGCAGGACTGTGTCGGAGAATAGACAATCAGACATGTGTAGCCTTTGTAGTGTGCATTATCCCTACCGCGACGCAATTATCAATGATGGATTCTTATGCATTGTGAGAAATAGCGTGGTGTGCTAATGATTTCAGCGCAACAAATCCTCGTTAGTACCGTGTGTTTTGTGAGAAGGTGAGAAGGGTTGCAACGCCTTCAAACCCCGATATTATGCCACACGCCGACACAGCCATATATGCTTCTCCCGCCCAGAGGTCTTCCCCGGACGACCGAGCCCCGCCGAATTACCCAAGTCGAAAACCTACTGCTCCCAACCTTATCCACGCCACCTCGAGATCGCGAAACCTTGGCCCCCAAGGTCGACGGTTCGAGTCCCGCAAAGAACAATCCTGAGGGATTGGGGTGCCCAGGCCTGGGGACGGGTACTCCCCTAGCCAAGCACTTGAATACCTAGAGATGCGTGACTAGGGGCCGTTTTAATCGCGGAATGGGACCGGAGCAAAACCTTCGGGGGTTTCCGTAGCTGTCCACCCCCATCGGGGGCTGGGCGGTGAGCTTTTGCGAAGGAGCAAGTCTTTGGTCTCTTTTCTTCCTCATTTTTTTCTCCCATTCTCCATTCCTTTCATCCTTTTCGCCGGGGCATCGCCAGCCGACGCCTTGTGAATCGAATCCTCACCCTCAAGGTCCGCAGTTCGCCTGTGAATGATCCAAAACCGCTCGATTAGGCCCCCTATTTTAGCATTAACCGATCTGCGAGCCATTTTTGGATTCTCGGGGCAGGCCAGCATGACCAAAGATGTGGATGCTTGGCACTGCCCCCGAGATCAGGGGGAGGGGGAGGGAGGAGATGATTAGGACACCGACTCGGGCCGTCGCCTGGCGTGGAAAGTCCCGTCAAGCCGCATCAGCAGGCATCCCCCATCATCTGGATAGGTGGGCGTCTTCCCCTGTTTTACTCTGTCTGGCGATCGATGTCGCCTCATGACTGGGGCTGACCCTGTTGTGCACATGTCGTCTCTTTTCTTCTGTTTTTTTTTCGGGGACCGTAACGCTAGGCCGAGAGCGGGGGATAACCTAATCTCGTGCCCTGGGGAAATTCCTACAGTGGCGCATGTCATCATCACTCCGCTTCTTGGATCAGCCTCTCGGCGTTGCCTGGCCCGTGGTGTAAGTCGTGATTTTCACATCTAGAGGCTCTGCTAGGTCAAGTTTTGATATAAAGTCTTGGCTCTCCTCTGGGTGCCATCTAGAAAGAGGCTTCTTCATCTCCATCCTCACAACATTCTTTCCATCGAGTTTCTTCCATTTTCATACTGTCTTCCCTTGTCTTTCGACTCTCTTCTTTTCTCCGTGACATTTTCCCGCGCTAAAGACAAGGTTCAATCTTTGACTTGGGCTCACTTTTTTTCCACCAACCACACCACCCCCAAAATGCAGCTCATCCAGTTCGTCACCATCCTCGCCCTCGCCCTCCCCGTCCTGGGCGGCGAGAGCCCGGCCGCCGCCGTCGAGCGCCGCTTCGTCGGCAGCCCCGCCGGCGTGGTGGCCGCCCTGCACGTCCGCGGCCTGCTGGACGACCTCAAGAAGACGGGCAAGGGCATCAAGGACGCGGGCAAGCACGTTGGCGACGGCCTCGGCAAGGCAGCCAAGGGCCTCGCCGGCGACGCCAAGGACACGGCCAAGAGGATGGGCTACAGCGCCAAGGATGCCGGAAAGGCGATCGGCGACCTCGGCAAGAAAATCACACAGCGCTCGCTTCTGGACGAGCTGAAGGACGTTCGGCAAGGGCTTCGAAAGGGCCGGCAAGAATCTCGACGGCAAGGTCGAGGACGCGGGCGAGGCCGTGGCCGGCGGCGCCAAACACGCGACCGAGAAGGTCGGCCAAGAGGCCAAGGACGCGGGAAAGGCCATCAAGGACCTGGGCAGAAAGATGGCGCGACGCTTGCTCGCCGACGAGCTGGACAAGGTCAGCAAGGATCTCAAGGACGCGGGCAGGCAGGTCGGCGGGGACGTCCGGGATGGCGCCAAGAGGCTCGGCGACAAGGCCAAGGACGCCGGCAAGGACCTCGCCGGTGACGTCAGGAAGGTCGCCAAGGAGATGGGCGGCAGCCTCAAAGATGCAGGGAGGGCCGTCGGCGAGTTTGGCAGGAAGCTCGGACAGTAAGGCAGATTTAAACAGCGGTGCTTGGGCTACATATAGAAGATAATGACGACATGGCTCGCTGCCGAAAAAGCAAACAACGAACTATGAGGTGCTTTGCTACATTACTAAAGTGACGCCGTGGCATCTTGGAAAGCAAAAAATATATGTGCACCCTACAAATGTCGTGCGATATTTACATGCCCTCAACCAACTGCAACAGCACCACCACCACGGGCAGAGAGACCCCCCCCCCCCTCACAGATACTGCAGCTTGAACGGCCCCATCTCCAGCACCTGCCAGTCCTCGGCCCTCTCCCGGTCGCCAAACAGCCGCAGCGCCGTGGCGAGCAGCTTGTACCGGCCCTCGGGCACGACGGTGCCGTCGCTCAGCAGGCCCAGGAACGAAAGGCGGTACTGGTCGCGGGGCAGGAGCAGCGCCGGGTTGCCGTAGGCCGTGCCCAACGTCTTGTGGCCGAACCAGTCCGTCGTCGTCGTCGTCGTCGTGGCGTTGTCGCCGTCCAGCAGCACCACGCGGAGCGCAAACTCGCGCACGCCCAGCATCATGGTGATCCTGGCCTGGGGCCACGAGCCCGTCGCGCGGCCGTCGGGCGGGTTCGCGGGCCGGGGCACGCGGAAGACGTGGTCGTCGGCGACGGGGATGGGCCAGCGCGAGTCGCTGGCCGCCAGGTACGTGGCGGGCAGGCCCGTGGGGCCCGGCGCGGTCCGCATGACGGGCTGCTCGGCCAGGGCCGCGGCCACGCCCTGGTACTGCAGCGTCAGGGCGTCGCCGTTGGTGCCGTTGAGCGTGACGAAGCCGCTGTAGAAGGGCAGGCGCGCCGCGGCCAGGCCCCGCGGCGGCTCGCACCGGACCGTGATGTCGACGGAGCCGCCGGCCGGCACGGTGACGAGGTCGCCCGTGGCGGGGAACGAGAGCCGCGCCGTCGCGTCGGCCCCTCCGTCGGCCGGGCGGACGGGGTACGCGTAGTTGACGCCGTCGGCGTCGTAGGCGTACACGGTGCCGGCCGGCCGGTGGCCGAGCTCGTACGTGGCCTCGGCGGGGCCCGTGTTCTTGAGAGAGAAGGTCATGTCGCGCGTGTGGGCCGTGTCGTTGAACGAGATGCCGGCCGTGCTCAGGACGCCCTTGACCTCGCTCGCGTCCCAGGCCTGCATCATGCCGGGCCCGACCTGCAGGACGCTGTGCAGCCGGCCGGCCGGGTCCGGACGCTGGCCGTCGTGCGCCACGAGCTGCCTCGAGGTGCTGGCCAGGAGGGCGCGGATGGTCTCCGAGTCCCGGACGCCGCGCTTCTGCATCAGGAGGGCGGCGACGCCCGCGGCGTAGGGGGTGGCCATCGAGGTTCCCGAGAGGACAGCGTATGTGCCGACGGCCTGTGGGAAGGTGGAGAGGATCTCGCCCCCGGGCGCGGCCAAGTTGGGGTTGACGTTCATCTGCCAGGAGGGCCCCCAGGTGGACCAGAAGGACGTGTAACCGCCCGACACGACGGCGGGCATGTGCACCGCCATGGTGGGGGACTTGTCGGTGTCGCGGGTGGTGATGGTGATGTTGTGGCCGGCGGCGAAGGCGGCAGCCCATTTCTTGCCCTGCGACGCCGTGGTGACGGCAACACCCGACATGCCAGCCTCAGGGGGGAAGTAGAAGTACAGCGGGCTACAAGTTGGCGTGGTGGGAGTGATTAGCAAAGTGTGGGATATGATATTTACAGAAGCGAATGCGGTACAAGAGCCGCTGCTGGATACTCACTCGTCGGTCGTGTGGACCTTGATCATGTGCTTGCCACCCTTGGCCTTGATGTTCACAGCCGACTCGCCCATGGCGCAAGACCCCGTGCCGACCAGCGCGACCACGTCGGCCAGGCTGGGGACGCTGTCGGGGAGCGGGCTGCACGCGTCCAGCATGGCGCCGGACTGGTCCTTAACCATGACCAGGGGGAGGGTCAGGTTGCCCATGGGCACGAACTCGGCGGTCCGGTAGGGGAACTGCTGCTCGGCGTCGTCGCCGCCGCCGTCGACCTGGTAGGTGCCCGCGGGGAAGACGCGGGGGATGTCGGTGTTGTCGATGGAGGCGATCGACGCGACGCCGCGGCCCGAGGCCGGGTTGCTCGCCTGCGCCATCCCCTTCTCGCCGTCGTTGCCGGCGGCGATCAGGATGGTGACCCCGGCGGCGGCGATGCGCGCCGCCGTCAGCGACCACGGGTCGTCCTCCCACCCACCCAGGATGCCCGTGGACGAGCTGATGATGTCAGACCCGGCGTCGAAGGCCATGTTGAAGGCCGCCATGAGGATCTCGTTGCTGCTGGCGCCGATGCAGTTGAGGGCGCGGAACATGCCAATCTCGGCGTCGGGCGCGACGCCCTGGAAGCCGAGCTCGTTGGGGTTGGCGCCGATGATGCCCGAGACGTGCGTCCCGTGGCCGAAGCACGCCTCCATCGGGTCCGGGTCCGGCTTGGGGAAGTCTCTCAGGTCGTCGCCGATCAGGTCGTAGCCGTACGAGACCTTGCAGCCGGGGCCGAAGCAGCCGCCGAGCGCCGGGTGCGTGTAGTCGACGCCGCTGTCGATGACGCTGATGCGGATCCCCTTGCCCGTGAAGCCCTCGGCGTGCAGCTTCTGCACCTGGCCCATGACGTGCGTCGAGTAGGTGCTGTTGTACGGCATGTTGCCGCGCCGCGCCATCATCTCGGCGCTCGCGCGGGCGGAGCCGTTGCCGATGGACTGGACGCGATCCATGGGCATGCTGATCTTGCGGACGGGCCAGACCCTCTTGACCTTTTCGTGGCCGGCGAGCTTGGCCGCCGTCTCCTCGGCACCGCCCGTGCCGTTGACGTTGACCGAGGCGCCGTTGAACAGCTTGTACTTGAGGTTCAGGCGCTTCTCGGCCTCGAGCTTCTCGCCGCGCAGGTCGCTGACGAGCGCGTCGGCGTCATAGTCGCCCTCGAACTCGACGATGAAGGCGCCCGGCACGTCCTCAAGCAGAGGCTTGGCCGACGGCTCGGCAGCGGCGTCCTGGGCAGAGACGCCGGCAACAACCGAGAGGGTCAAGCCCACGAGGGGCGCGAGTGATGACCAGGCGACCATTGTGGGCGCAACAGGCGAGAGCGGGCAACCTGGCAAACGAATGATCCAAGTCCGCTCCTTTTCTTCGGCCGGCCTAGGGAACGGTCTGCGGTTCCCGACACCAAAGAGAGGGTTGGGGGTGGAAACGAAGCCATCCTCAACAGCCAGGCAACGCCCCGCGACTCTATCGGCTTTATACTAGTACACAAACAAGCCCAGGCCTATCCATCATCAGCCGCGGCACAGAAGGCTGGGCGCATGGGGCTGGGAGATTACACAGTAGCAACTCCTGCGCGGCCAGCACACGAGGAGGGATCGCCGCCCGCCAGGCACGGTTTGTCCCTGGGAGTGGAGTCGAACAGTCCAAAGGCGGCAGGTGGTTGTGTTAATGCCCCCATCGCGATGGGTCGAGGAGCGGGTAGTAGGTAGCCATCGAACAGCGGGGGCCTCACCCCATCGGGCTATCAGGGTCGCCAGGGATCTTTTCGTGATTGCCGCCGCCGGATGACTGGCGTTGCAGTCGACATGCCATGACCTCGGGCTGGGCTGCCAAGATCAATTGATGACAATCCCGTCAGTGCCCTGTCGAGGCCTGGACTCACCATTTCAGTGCATGGATCGGGGACTGTATAGCTGATGAGGCCCCTGAGATGGCAGTCGTCGAAGGAGTACATGCATACAGGATGCGATCCTCTCGGCTGATCTTTGGACTATTCACCACGTCTCCGCCAGTGTGACGAGCTGCATGCGGGATACGGGAGCCCCCGAGAAAACTGGCGGCTAACGTGTTCAACACGAGGTGGTACCTTGCTTGGCGCCAATATTTTGCCTACCCCACCATTGCAATGCAGATCCACGGGGCTAGAAAATCGTGGGGTTCGTGGAGAATCACAAGGCCGCGACCTGTGATGGGAGAGCAAAAAGAAGACCGCCGTTGAAATTATTCAGGCCCTGTCGTCGACTGCATGCCAGGCACGTCTGTCTCGGTCGCGCTGTTGCTGGTCCTGGCTTGTCTATCTCCAGCAACCAAGAGCCCCATCTCGTCTGTCTTGACACTTTGCTTGTTCTTGGCATGAAAGCATCGACTCGTCCTCGCCAAAAAAAAAAAAGCCAAAAAAAAAAACTGGTGCGTTGATTGGGGGTTCACTCTAGTGGCCCTTGCTCATGCCATGGCACATGGACAAAATGGTGCATCAAACACAGTTAGCTTGAATATACAGAATGAGGCCTTGAAACCCGGTCGGCTGCCTCTAGATTTATCTATCCTTCTTCCAGGTCCGGTAGGTGAAGCTGCCGTACTCGGAGGGCGAGACTAGTGTGTCCCTTTCCCGTAATACCCGAGCGTTGCAGGCTAGCGCGGCTCGAACCGAGCCGTTACGATCGCTTGTCTGCCGCTTTCTGGCATGACGCGTGAGCGGGGCGCCCAAGAGTTGCTGTCCCGCGAATTGCCGCTTCCTTGCGGCACCTGCTGGTCCATGTCTAAGCAGCTGAACTCATCGTGGGACCGCTTCGCTTCGGGCCCTGTATCATGCATCAGCTGCTGGTGTCGGGCCCCGACCGACGAACCACCTCAGCTGGAAGCTCCCTCGGCGGCCTCACGAGCAGCCTTGCTCAGCGCGCACCTTGCTAGGCGCACGAGTTCCGAAACAAACTCGTTCATGATGCAGAGGTGTATCACTTCGTTGGGGGTAAGTCTCCGGCTCTGGCCCATCTCATCAACCAGCTCCAGCACCGACCCCAGCAGAGCCACGTCATCCTTGACTTCGGGGTCAAGCGGCATCAGGAGGACGTTGCAGAATATGGTCAGCATTGCCGACATGGGGTAGAAGAACAGCATCCTAATCGATATAGGTTGTTAGCTGGGAGTTGCACGTCACACCGCAAGCTCGGTTTCCACAGGCCACGGCCACAGTGCGTGTAGTGCGCCAGAGGGATAGATGGATCACAACTTGCCAGAAATTCATGCCCTGTGCGCACCGGGATGCTGCGCGAAGGTAAATCAGGGTCGACCGGCTCGCCTGCAGAGACAGGGCATGGCTGGAACTGACGACTGCCAGTTCCCGACCCCCGTCCGTGGGCCCAGACGACCACACCTGGCATCGGCCGCTGGCTCGATGAATGGTGGCCAGGAGGTAGTAGTACTCAAAGTGCTGCATAATCTCCTTCATCGTCACCTGGTCGTCCAGATCTTGCACGATGCCGCCCGCGTTTCCCCAGCCAGGCTGCAGCTGCTGTGCTCCAGAGACACCAGGAGGCGATGGCGTATTGGCCATGGCCGCGCCGAAGAAGCCAGCCTCGCTGCTGCTAGCAGGCGACACACCATGATCGCCAACCAGGCCCCCAGAGGCGGCAGCGGCAGCCCTTGCCGCCAGCGGTCTTAGGCTTGCACTCCGCGACGACGCCAGCACCGGCCGAAAGTGCTGTGGTACCGAAGAACGCCAGCGGTCGAGCTCGGCATCGAGCTCGCGGATGTCTCGGAGTAGCTCTGCGTCAGTCTTGCGGCCTGAGGCGCGCGAGTAGAGGAGCTGGCAGGTTCTAGACTTGAGAATGACCAGCCGCATCGCATATGGCTCCAGGACCTCCTTCTGCGTAACCTCCTCCAGCAGTGTAGGGCCAGTGGGCACCCCGTTCCGCATTTCCCGCTGGTGGATGGGCAGCCCAGTGAGGTCGATAGACCAGGCCCGCTCCAGCATCTCCAGGTCGCAGTAGTCGTCATGCATGATGGGTGGAAGACCCGTCCGGATGGCCAGCTCTTTGTCGAGTAAGAACGATATGCGGTACAGCTGCCGGATATGTCGCCTCAGCCGTTCGGCTCGTTCCTCGTTCACTCTGCTCTTCTCAAACCCGCCCGAGCCGTGTAACCGGTTCCCTTCTCCAAAAAAATTTAGCGTCATCCCCTCCATCGGGTATGTGAGTTCATCGACAGTGGCCGCAGCCAGTCCTTCTTCGGTGTGTCCGCCAATGAGGAACAGAATTCGACATGCGGTTGAATGAAATGTGCTGGTGGCCTGTATTTGGCCTGTGAAAAGACTATACAGGACCTGGAATGCATTGCGCGAGCGGTTAGTGCGTGCGGACGATTCAGCCATTGTCCAATAGGGGCTCATGTCCGAAATCAACATGACGGTATAGGCATGCCACGTTGTCGGTGGGGAACTATCACTCACCAGGAATAGTACCGTCTCCAAGGCCATCAGGGAGCCCCCTGGAAGGATTTGTGGGAGCATGTTGTGAGCCTGGGCAGAATACGCATCGCCGTCTATCCCGGCAAACTCTTCCTCGTCAACGACCGCCATGGGGCCAATAAGGGAGATGAAGGAGTAAACGGCAGCTCTAGCCGCCATCACCGACACGTCCTGTCTGGTGTAGTATTGAGGATGTATGTAGCAGGCTTCGCCGGCGTCATCGTCGCCCGTAGCCCCGTCGGAGCTGCTGCTCGGGTCGCGCTTCCCTCTTACTCCCGGGCACTGGGTATAGGCAAGGTCGAGGGTTTCTGAAAAGAGAACCGGGTCGATGATGGGCATGTAGATGCCGAACTGTGACATTCGGAACGCCGTCATAAACCCTTCCACCACTCGCCGATCAGGGAGCTCGACCTGCGGGAGACGCTGCAGAGTCGAGGGCATGTCGCCGACGCCAGGCTGCTCTTGCCACCAACCGTCCGGCAGGGTCTGCCAGAGTTTTTGTTTCCCAGCCTTCCCCTGCTCAGGGGTGCTCGGGTCCACGACGGGCTTCTGGTCGGTAGTGGGCTTGCGACGGGACCCGAGAGCCAGTGCGCTTTCGAACGAGGGCTCAACCCCGCAGCGAGACCGGATCCAGTTGAGGCCATCGTCGGAGAAGAACGGGACGCCGTTGTACGAGCTAATTTCGCCCAGCTCGAGGCCGACAAAGTGGAGCTTGCCGAATCGCACCCTCGACGAGTTGATGGACATGGGGTGGACGGTCGGGACACTCCCGTTCCGACTCCTCATCCAGCCAATTGAGGCTAGCTTGCTGTCGAGTCCGCGGCAGTGTGTGGTTTCGGGGCCCGGCGTCTGCTGGGGGCTCGAGCTGGAGGCTCCGGTCGGCACCGAGGCCGCGCCCGGCGTGGCTACCTGCATCGGGTCTGCAGCTCCGAAGGCGGGCTCGTCTTGTGCCATTTCATCATCTTCTTCGGCAGTGGGTAGTATGTCACAGCGGGCTCGTTTTGCTGCCTGTAATATCTGTTCGATGCGCTCCATGCGCTTCGCAAGGTCGTTTTGCGAGGTTGTTCTGGCACGGACTCGTCACCAAGCCGTCAGCATTCGGAGCGGACCGGAGTGGTAGCGCCCAATGGACGGCGCCGGGCCAGTCCCTCCTTCGAACGTGTCCTCCACGGCGAGCCAGAACAGCGGCAGGCAGGTCAGACTCACCGTTTCGTTGCGCCGCCAGGCTTGGCCGCCCTCTTCTTGACGCCTGTCTCGCGGTTGTACGTGCAAGGCAGCGAGTGACCTTTGCATCCGCTGCACTGTGGGGATGCCCCGTCGCATTGGATCTGTGGTGGTGGCGGTGGTGGCAGACGCACGGTTTTAGCGACGCGCTACTTTCAGTCCTCGCGTTGCGCCCCTCCCCCTCTCGCCCGCCAAGCCGACTCCGGAGACAGAGGCCGTACCTTTCTCCTGTGACAGGTGTCACAAGCTTTCTTCCGTGTCGCCATGGCAGTCGGGCTCGAGTCGCGTGGCCGGGTCGGGCGGTAATATGCACGCCAAGCAGCGAAGTTGCAGTTGGACAAAAATATCGGATCGGCGAGCGGCCTCGACGTGGAAATGCCAAATTATTGCCACGCCTGGACATGACCATGACGGGGGTCAGAGCGAACGATGTGCCAGCCAACTCGGCTCACGCCATAGCCGGCACTGCGCTGGGCGGGGGGTCGGTGTTTGGCACGGAGCGGGCTATCGCGGGGGAGCAAGGGTTGGAAGGTAGCCGCCGACCGGCGTCTACTTGTACGCAGGTTTTGCGGATGGTGTCAATGTCAACTGGTTCAGCGCAACGGCTGCGCGCAATCGTGGCTGGCACTGGGCTGGCTGGGGGGGGGACAAATGAGGCGAGGTGGGCAGTTACGTGGCGCTGGAGAGAAAGTCCAGGGCGGCCTGCAGGTTTTAAGGTTCACGTAGGTAGGTCACCGTGCGTCGCGGACTATGCCCTGTTGGGACTAGAGCCACCCTGTTGCGACTGCCCAACTCGACGGGCCAGCCCCGAATCGGCGACTCAGGGGTCAACGCATCAATGAGACGTGCCTGGCGGCCCCAACGCGATGGCGCACACCTCAATGCCTCTACCCAGGCACCTACCTACGATGTGCCTACCTTCCTAGGTAGGTCCTTATCAGGTATGGCGCATCAGGGCGGCAATCGGCGATGCCCAGCAACTCAGAAAGGGCGGGAAATGTTCCATTGATGGCGGGGGCTGACGCACGTCTATAAAAATAGGCAAACAAGTGGAGGCCAATACTGCGAGTGAAGGTGCCGCGATGTCGGTGAACAAGCCAAAACAGCTTTAGCCAAACGCCCCAAAATGCCGTGTCTGTGCTCCGCGGCTTGTGGGGTGGAGGGGGTAAGGGCTTGGCCAACTGGTCCCCTGGGGAGAATCCCCGACAGAATTTCCATTCGTACTCCGCACTGGGCGACGGGCTGCCTCCCCTTATGTAATCCAAAATGGCACGGTGGGCGAGGCTTGGAGTGTCTAGCCTCGTGGCAGCTAGGGGAGCCGCACGGGACGAAAGCCGTTGTTGCTGGGATAAAAGCAAGCACAACCCACCCAAGGAATCACATCCCACCTGACATCCCCGACGCCAAATTTAAGCTTTGCATCGGCGGGTTGGCCCGGCGGGACTACTGCTTTTGTCACGGCTTTGTAAGTGCAAAAGGGGGGTTCCTCCCATGTAAACAAGCCATGGCTGGATGGCAATGACTTGGGTTCATTGATTTTCAATACGTCGTCGGCACGGGTTGCCATGCCCGCGGAAATACGCCGCAAGACGGGACCCTGCAAGCTGGAACCAGCCGCAGTTGACACGACGTCCGTGCTATGCAAACTTCTGATGCTATCAAACGCCAGACTGAACACACATAATGCTAGCTGTGACGTTCCTGGACGACCAAGTACTTTGTGGACTGGAAAACAGTGCCATGGTGGCGCTGCCGGCACGCGATCTGAGAAAGACTCCCCTTCGGGAAAACAAGCTCGGTGCCTACACCCATGATCGAGAACCAAACTCGTGACCTCTGGGCGACTACCATGATCGACGGCCTTGGCATGTCTTAGAAAAGGTGATACGAGTCGTCGCTTCTGAGGCCGCCTAACACCCAAGCTCCTCAGGGTATAAGTAGGAAAGGGTTTCCTATTGTCCTAGATAGTTCTTGACAGATGCACTGGCATCAGTCAATCTAAGTTAGCTTCCAAGTAACCCTTGGAGCAAGCATTCAGACCGCACCTAAGATACTAGTGAATCCCCTCAGTTTGTTAAGTCACGTGCTACTGTTCGATACTCCTCAGGTGCCCTACGTTAGGAGCAGAAGCCGAACTGTAACAAAATAATTTTTAATATATAAATTTTCGTATTTAATAATTTCCTTAATAATTAAATAACCGTTAATATAAATTGCTTTTAAGATAATAAATATGCTAAATTTATTACTTAAATTTATAATGAGACTTACCCTACTTTAATGCATGCATTGGGGGTAAAGTTATAGCGTTTTAAAGTGGTAGCGTTTAAAATGGGTAGCGAGCGGTATTTTTGTCCTCCACTGTAACTAGGCATGAGGAGACTGAGGGGCTTACCCGAGATCAGTCTAGCGCCGCACGTCTTGCGAGGTGGAGCACGGATGGGATCCAACCTAGCAGATTGCGATCAAGCCCCCTGCAACCTCGCCGACCGCTGAGGCTTCCTCGGCATATAGCCCCGGCTCCTTGCCCCAGAATCGACAAGGTGGGGAGGGCAAGCGGGATAATTGCAAGTGAGATTACACATGCCCCCTCCCAAGCGCACAACCTCCCACTAACGGCTCGACCCGGCTGCTGCACCTAGCCTCACTCTGCCTACGTCTTTTTGCCGTGGTCCCATCGTCCTCTACAAAGCCTTGCTCTGCTTGTCCGGCTCGACGTAGCTCCCAGATACCTTGGAGCCGTCGGGCATGACCTTCTCAGTCCGCTGGACGGACCACAAAACAGGTGCGTATGCGGCATCACATGCGCAGGAGACAGCCATGAAGAATATGGAAATCTCGGATGTGACATAGGGATGTCCCTCTGGCCAGTGGAACCAAAGCCAGAGGTACGCTCCCCATAGTCCAATTACCGAACCGGTAAAGCGGGTGGCCCTGGTGGCGTCAGTTAGTTTCGATGATGGAACGGGTGTGCGGCACTAGTATCAGCCCTACCATATGGCCCAGCTTACACCTCCCGAATGCTCGCGTACCAGCAGCTGTGCGAGGCTGGCGGCGGAGAGGAACACCTGAGCAAAGCACGCGGTCCAATATCCCATCTCTGTTGTGTCGGCGACCAATTTACCGCCGTAGAATTTGCCCTCCCGGCGCACGACCTCGTTCTCAATCCACCAATGGGCGAATGCCCAGTTGGCCCACACCGACAATACGACCATGAGGCCAAACACGCCGACAAGGTTGCGCGATACCCAGGTGGTGCGGCGGCCACCGGCCCCGCGGTCCCACTCGCGAGGGCCGTGTCGTACGACGCCGTAGAAGAGGCCCAGGTCGATGAGGCACCAGATAGTGATGACGGCGCGCTCCAGCGGGGCCTCGGCGACGTAGAAGGCGTTGACGACCTCCCAGCCAAAGTTGATGGCGAGAGCGGCGATGGGCATTCCGTACGACTTGGACCGGAGCGACTCTCGCGCGTAAAGCAGGTAGCTCACCGTCCAGAGGGTGCCGGCCACCGAGAGCATGTGGCCCGACACGGGAATCACGTAGTCGGGGACGCCCGGAGGGGGGATGTCGCTGGTCCCCATTGCGACGGAGTCTGGGGTTGGGGGTTGGGTTCGAGCGAGGGGACGGTTAGGCTGTAATTGGAATCGGAATTGATTTCATGAATGTTTGTTAACGCAAAAGAACATTTGCAGCGGTGAGCGACTGAAAAACGAGATTTAGGAACGACCAGACGGGACCCGTCAAACTCTAATCGCGGGGCCCCAGGCGCGGAAGGATACCCACTCAGGATTCGGAGAGGTGGGGTGGGGGTTCCCGGCGACTTGGTGGAGGGGCGGCCTAGCACGAGCTTCTATCACGGTCAGGTCGCTCGTCCTCTGATGGCGGAGGAAGGAGACTAACGAGACGAATAGTCCTAATAATAACAATAATACAGTAATAAAAAGCCCATTTCCTGAAGCTCTAACAAACCTAACACCTGACACCTGACATCGATCCGAAATCTCGCTTGCACAGGTCAGTACAGGTCAGTAAGATATTGAACGTTACGACGCGCAGATCCTTCCTAATTAGGCCACGTCTAGCCCACATTTTTCCCCACAGAAAACCCCGCCAAATTAATGTACCGCTACCCGCACCTCCATTTGCCAGAACCCACTAGAATTGTTCCAAGCTGCTAGTTGCAATACATTGATTCCTACTACAAATTGTGCGTTGAGATATGTACCCCTACCCCTTTGCTAATACCCTGGCAGACCCCTTGTTAAGCCCACACCGTAACGTTTGATATCCTACTGACCTGTACCCCGCACTCGCCCATACCGCCCAGCCTCCACCCCTCATCTCTCCCCTGCGTTCCGCCGACCTGCCCACTCCGCCCACTCCACGCCCACCCGAGCAAGGATGACGGCTGCCGCTGCCCCGGACGACGCCAGGCTCCACGTCGCCATCATAGGCGGCGGCGTCGCGGGCGTGGCCCTGGCCCTGGGCCTGCAGACCCGCGGCGTGTCCTTCGCCCTGTACGAGCGCGCCCCCGCCGTCACCGACGTGGGCGCCGGCATAGGCCTGTCGCCCAACGCCGAGCGCGCCATGTTGCTGCTCGACCGCGACCCGACCGGCGGCGGCCCCGTCGCCGGCGGCTACAGGCGCGTCCTGACCCCGAACGGGCTCGACTACTTCCAGTGGGTCGAGGGGCTGCGCACCAACGAGGTCCGCTACAAGCTGCACGTCGGCAAGGACGGCTTCCAGGGCTGCCGCCGCTCCGACCTGGTCGAGGCCATGGTGGCGGGGATCGCGCCCGGCGGCTGCGGACGCGTCGAGCTGGGCAAGCAGCTCGTCGACATCCGGCAGCGGGACGACGACCAGGCCGGGGTCGGGAAGAAGGAGAAGCCCATCGAGATGACGTTTGCGGACGGCACGACGGCGCGCGCCGACGTGGTCGTCGGCTGCGACGGCATCCGGTCGCGTGTGCGCCAGGTCATGTTCGGCCCCACCAGCCCCGTCTCGCACCCGTGCTACAGCGGCAAGTTCTGCTTCCGCACGCTGGTGCCCATGGACCGCGCCCGCGCCGCGCTGGGCCTCGAGCGCACCCACACGCGCTTCATGTACAACGGCCCGCGCGCCCACGCCATCACGTACCCGGTCGGCCAGGGCGCGTCGCTGGTCCTCAACGTGCTCGTCGTCCTCACCGACCCCGCCGGCACGCACGGCTGGGACCTGGCGGCCACCGGCGGCCGGCAGACGGCGCCGGGCACGCGCGAGGAGGCCCGCGCCGCCGTCGAGGGCTTCCACCCGGCCTTCAGGGCCATCGTCGACCTGCTGCCCGACAACCCAGAGAAGTGGGCCATCTTCGACTCGCTCGACGACCCGGCCCCGACGTACGCCGCCGGCGGCATCTGCCTGGCCGGCGACGCCGCGCACGCCACGGGGCCGCACCTGGGCGCCGGCGCCGGGTTCGGCGTCGAGGACGCCCTGGCGCTTTCGACGTTATTGGAGGCGGTCGACGGCGCGGCCGGGGTCGAGGGCAGGGCGCAGGCGGTCGCGCGGGCCCTTGAGGTCTACGACGAGCTGCGTAGGGAACGCACGCAGTGGCTGGTCGGCGCCACCCGCGAGGTGGTCGAGCTGTTTCAGTGGGACCGCAGCGGCATGACCGAGGACGAGCACTGGGAGCGGTTCACGCGTGTCATCCCCGCTCGATTCCACCAGATCTGGGACTATGACCTCGAAGGCATGATGGCGGACGGGCTGGGGAAGCTGGGTCTGCCGCCTGTTCCTCAGCCCAATTGATACAGTCGCAGAAGGCTACTTTGCATGCGCTAGGAGGACCTGCGTGGATTTGCCTTTGGGTAGTGAGAGAGCTGATGAGAGAGCAACGAGGGTGAGGCATCGTCGCATGAGACCAGGCCCGGGGTGTTGTAGCGTGTAACAACTTGTTGAAGCGAAGATGTTTACTGATCCAACTAGGCACCTAGGTACCTAGGGTATACCTAACATTATCTCCGGATTTGTAAAAGTAATGAGGCTGCTTGTTTGCTTGGCCCAAGCCGGCGCAGGGATGCTTCATCCAGGCAATCAGGGTCTGGTGTGATCTGAGGCAGTCGCTGATACGCGTCATGTCATTGGCTCCAAGGCCGATGATGTTGACAAGCCTCCGAAATGTGGCCAATTTTGGTTCGAGTCTCGGCGCTAGCGCCAAGGAGACGGAGCGTTCCCCTCAGCTTGAAATTCAGGCACTGCTGGATTCTCTGGCGTCGAGTTTTGCGACCTTGGCAGCTTGGCAAACGCGCTGCCACCTCAGCGTAGGGCCGGCCCAGATTCTTGGGCCAGAGCCGGCACGTCATGCACCGCAAACGCTGCGAGAAGGGCGTTCTTGTCCGACGCGGGCTGAGGCTGGGCAGGAGATAGGAAAATAAGGGAGAAAAAAATGCGGTCTCTCGCGGGCGCCATGTCCTCCGTTCTCATCCTCCTCATCCACCGCCAAGCACTGCGCTGCAAACAAGGACATCCGTCGAGGCCGTGAGTGCAGCTACCGCCACCGCGCAATGGCTGATCATGCAGGAGATAACGTCGAGAGAGTAAACGATGCGAGCGGCGCTGGTGCCGGGCCTGGCCACATCGAAAACAACAACACCAACACAAAGCACGAGGTGCAGGAGAAACCCGCAGACGCCGCAGCCGTCAGCACGGGCAAGAACCCGACCCGGCGGAGCAGCAACGGAAGCGCGACGGTGGGGGCGCCGGCGGCCACCAACGGCGGAGACGGCGGCGCGCACCGACACAACCCCCTGGGCCGGAGCTACGACCCGGCCTCGGACGCGGCGGCGTCGGACCCGGACGTGCAGTACCTGCGCGACGACGAGATCGCGGCGTTCTTGGACGAGCTGGACCACAACGGCGACGGCTGCATCGACTACTCCGAGGTGGAGCGCAAGCTGGACGAGGTGTACGACGAGCTAGTCCCGGGCGGCGCGCAGCCGCACAACCTGCACCACGACCCCAAGGAGGACCGCGACCGCCATGCCTTTTTGCGCAAGCTCATCGGCTGCGGACCCGACGGCGGCGGCGAGGCAGCCCCCCGCATCCCGCGCGACGAGTTCGCCGAGCGCGTGCGAGGCTGGCGCGTGCCCTCGATGAAGCAGGACTCGGCCGGCCGCGAGGGGGGGCAGGGCAAATACCTGCGCGACATGGGCCCGTGGCGTCGCGCGCGCGCCTACTGGGCCGTCCACGGGTCGTCCTTTGCCTTCCTCGCCATGGTCGTCGGGCTGCAGGTCGGGCTGGGCACGTGGCAGTGCGTCAAGTACGCGACGGGCGCCGAGTACCAGGCGGCCTTTGGCTGGGGCGTGGCGCTGGCCAAGTCGTGCGCGGGCGCCCTGTACCCGACCTTCTTCTTCCTGCTGCTCAGCATGTCGCGCTACACGTCCACCTTCTTCCGCAAGAGCGAGCTACCGCGTCAGCCGCCTCGTCAACTGGGACTTTAGCCAGGCCTTCCACGTCCGCATCTCCATGGCGGCGCTGGTGCTGGCCACCCTGCACGCCATCGACCACCTGACGGGCAGCTTCAAGTGGGGCAGCCGCCCGGAGAACGAGGACGCGGTCGCGGCGCTGCTGGGCCCCGACGCCGCCCCGCGCCCCTGCGTCGCCTACGTGCGGTCCGTGCCGGGCTTCACGGGCCTCACGGCCTTGGGGCTGTTCTACGCGCTGGCGGCGCTGAGCATGCCGCAGGTCCGGCGCCGGAGCTACGAGGTGTTCCAGCTGGCGCACCTGCTCATGTTCCCCATCGTCGGCCTGCTGGCGGCACACGGCACGGCGCAGCTGCTGCAGTTCGCCATGTTCGGCTACTGGCTGGCCCTGCCGACGGTGCTCGTGCTGGCCGAGCGGCTCGTCCGGCTCGCCACGGGCCTGCACCGCATCCCCGCGACGCTGGCGGTGCTGGACAAGGACACGGTCGAGATCCGCGCCACCATCCCCAGCGAGCGGCTGTGGCGCTACGAGGCCGGCCAGTGGGTCTACCTGCAGGTGCCCGCCATCAGCCTCTTCCAGTGGCACCCCTTCACCGTCTCGGTCTGCGTCGGCAAGGAGGTGCGGCTGCACATCAAGATGGACGGCAACTGGACGGGGAGGCTGCGCGAGCTCGGGGGCGCCCAGGGCGAGAGGGCCGACATCCAGATCGGCATCAACGGGCCGTTCGGCGCCCCGGCCCAGCGCTTCTACGACTTTCAGCACACGGTCCTGGTCGGCGTCGGCATCGGCCTCACGCCCTTCTCCGGCATCCTGGCCGACCTGCAGGCCAAGGACGACAGGGCCCACGGCGGGCCGTCCGACTCGGCGTCGTCGAGCCACACGAAGGTCGTGGGCCCGCACGCAGAGGTGCCCGGCGGCGACCAGCAGACGGCCGAGCTGAGCAAGGCGAGAGATTCGGACAAGACCACAGCGCCGCCGGGGCCGGAGGCGGCAGAGTCGACGGCGGGCGGCGGTTCGCGTCAGGCCGCCGCCCGACCGGGAACCTCGTTGTCGTCGTCGTCCTCCTCCTCATCCTCATCCGTCTCCCGCTTCGCATCCGACTACCGACGCGTCGACTTCCACTGGATGGTGCGGGAGCGCAACCACCTGCTCTGGGTGTCGGACCTGCTCAACACCGTGTCCCGGTCGCAGGCCTGGCACCTAGCGCACGACTCGCAGCACCACCTCGACGTGCGGGTGCAGACGCACGTAACGCAGAAGCGCAGCAAGGTCGGCGCCCACGTCTACCGCTGGCTGCTCGAGCAGCACCGCACCCCGGAGCACCCGGCCAGCCCCATCACGGGCCTGCTGAACCCGACCCAGTTCGGCCGCCCGGACTTTGTGCGCATCCTCGACCGCCACTACGACGACATGCTGCGCTACAAGGCCGCCGCCGTCGCGAGGGGCGACCTGGACGCCGACGACGAGCTCAAGGTCGGCGTCTTCTTCTGCGGCACCCCCGTCGTCGGAGAGGTCCTGGCCGACCGGTGCGCGGCCCTGACGGCGCGCGGCCGCCACGACGGGAGCAGGATCGAGTACCACTTCATGATCGAGGTGTTTAACTAAGGGATTAGTTTTGTTGCTCGGCTGCAATGCTGGTCCGGGAAGGCGGGATTTTTCGGGAATTTTTTTCTCGATTTTTATTGTCGTAGAGCATAGACCAAAGCTAACGCGCCAACAATTGTGGTTGCCCTCACTGCCCCCATTTCCGCATAATTAAACAAGGCATTTTACCCATTAAGTAACCAGACTCTCCTCTCAAAATCGGCTAGTGTTTGTGTTTGATACATCCGAAAGAAAATCCCGTGAAACATCGTGTTGCATCCATTGGCGCCCTCGCGCTCGTTGGCTGGCTGGCCGTACAGACGAAACCCTCCTTACTTGGACGTGCTAGCAGTGAACTGCAGCGCCGTCGACGCCTTGCCGGCGGCGGCGACGTCCTTTGCGATGTTGTTGTCCAGCTTCTTCTGCTCCTCGGCCAGCTTAGCGGCCACGTTCTCGCCCTTGGCCTGCTGGGCCTGGAGCTTGAGGATGGTGGCGGTCAGCTTGAGGACCTTGTTCTTGGTCTTGCCGTTGTCGAGCGCGTCCTTGGCGGCGCCCGACGCGGCCGCGATGGCCGGGTTGAAGGCGCCCGTCTCGGCCTGGTTGGCGATCTTGTTGACCGAGTCGAGGAAGGTCAGGTCCGCGCGCTCGACCGCCTTGAGGTCCGCGGGCAGGCCGGCCAGCTTGGCGAGCGCCTCGGCCTTTGCGTTGCCGGCGCGCCCGCCGCTGATGGAGAGCTGGTTGTACGTCTTGGCGGAGAAGACGGCGCGCCTGTCGAGCGGGGCGGCGGTGGCGGTGACGGCAAGGCCGATGGCAGCAAAGAGAGTGAACTTCATTTGGCTAGTTTGGGTTTGGTGGTGGTCGTTCTCGACGGAAGATAGACAGCAAAAAGTCAACGGGGATTAAATGCGTAAAACACAAAAACGGGGACAGCGCAGCTGCCTGGAAGAATGAACCGAAAGCGAGAGGAAAGGAAGGGAATGGCCTTGTTCGTTATGGTGGAAAGTGAGATGAAGGACAGAGGTTGCAAACCCAAAGACAAAAGCGAGGCGATCTCGAACTCTTTATTCTAACCCTAGGCCTGCCATGACGGCGGCCACCACTCCATACTAACACGGGGCAGTGTTGCGGAGGACTTGACCCCTGGCCCTGGACGGTTACGGCGGCTCGCTTGCAGTTACAGCGGTTCTGGACCCTGCCGTTGTCTCCACCAACGCGCAGCCGTTGCCCGTTGCGCCTTTTTTGCATGCTGCAGATTCCGCTCCCAATGACCGATGGTCTGGTTCTACTAGCACATGCACCCTATACCCCCATACCTTTTCTCGCATCCAACTTTCAGCATCTCCCGAGTTCGGATGGAAGCAATCTCGCCCTCAAACCGTACCCAAGGTCCGTCGGGTATGGATCAATTTGGGTGGGCACGTGGGCCAAAAGCCAGGGCCTCTGTCGATTTCTTCCTCCAGTCACAGCCGCCCCCCCTGAGCTCTGATCTGGCGATCCTAGCCCCGCCCAGCGACGTCAAACCAGACCCCCGGAGCCCCCACCCCACCATCAACCGTGTCCAACTTTGATTTGATTGGAGGTCGCTGCCCGCGGCGAAGCGACACGGCACGCCGTGGAACGCGAGGCACCTTTCAATCTTGTCTTGCGACGAGCTGCAAAAAGCTTCGACGCCCCTTGGATCCACGCAATCTGGCTACAGGACTTGTATTAAAGCGGCTAGTCTTTCCATGCTGTAGCGTCTTTCCCCGTGGCAGCATCGTGCGAGTTGCCCATGGAGAGTTCACAGGCCAAACCCAACGGCAGAGGTGATAGCCATGTGCGGTGCCAAGCCGACTGACAATTTATCTCCACCTCGGCATGGTCCGGGAGAGCTCACGATCCACCGGCGATCTGGATCGGAAAGGTCAGGTGAAAGCTTGAGTTTCCCTCCAGTTAATTTTCGGCCAAACCTGGTTCGTCTTCATCTTGCTTTGGGGGTTCGAAAACAGCATGTTGCAATGCTGTGCGAGGTGGTAGCACATGACATAACCGGTGGGTCACATGACACCACCCACAAACGCTAGTATTTAGTCCTGGGATCGTTGGCTTCCTTTGCCGGCTTTCCTTTAATCCGACAGGTTGCACCTCCGACAGATGCCAGTTCAAAGTTTGCGCTTGACAAATGCCCCTTCGACGTCGCAGAACTATGTATAGAGCGCACCATCAGCCTGGAATGCCCCTGGAAAAAAAGCAAATACATAGACTGCAGAAAAGAATGGAGCAAGGGTGCGCCCGTCAGCGTGTACACAATCCCATAGCATCGCACCCTCGTCACCAGCACACGCACAGAAGGAGCACCAACAGAAAGCGCTGTCTCTTCTCGTGGAGATATGGATACTGCGTCGGGTAACATTACTAATGAAGCCGGCGGGTAGTAGAACACAAACTCGCCCGGATCCAACGGAACCTTGTGGTGTGAATTCCTCCATTCCCCTGACCATCCGCTTCACGTGCCATCATGACCTCGCGGGATATTCACTCGAGACGAATAATGCACCTTGTAGCCATCATGAGCTGTCGTGCTTCCTCGTATGTGGGCCTGCCCATCTCGCGAAGCGACGGCAGGATCTGAGCTAGGTTCTAGCAGCCCTTCGCTCCGGGCACCCTCCTTTCCATCAGGCCACCAAAGACGTCAGCCGTGAAGACGATGCGACTCGGCCCAGACTGGGGTCTCCCCGCGACGTTGCTGGAAGGACGGAGGGGTCGTGGTTAGCCGGGGGATTGTTAGCAAAAAGAAGTGAAAAGACAAAGGAGAGGCACAAAAAAGTGGGAGGAGAAGAGCCGCACACGTTGAACCACTCCCTCATGGCCTCGCAGTTGTACATGATGTAAACCTCGGGGTCCGCGACGCCTGGGTCCGCGTTGACGACCACGTCAAACAAGGAACGCTGCATCTCGATCCCTCCGCCCACCGGATCCGGCGACTGGATGTAGAGCTGCCCCAGCACCAGGCCCTGCCTCGGCAGCCGGGGCGCCTCCGTCACGGGGGAGCCCCCCGGCGCGGTGCGGGGCTCGAGCGGGGCCCCGGGCCCGCCGTCGCGGCTGGGGTGAACGTGGTAGTCCGAGTCGACCTCGAAGCGACCGCTGATCCAGGGCTGCGGGTCGCGCGCCGGGTCCGTCGGGTCCGAGGCCGGGAAGAAGGGCAGGTCGGTCGCAGCGAAGAAGACGAAGTACATGACGCCGTCCGGGTCAGGGCTCGAGAACAGCGGCATGGCGGCGGGCCCGCCGTGGGCCGCGGGGCCGCGCAGGTAGCCCCGGTCCTCGTCGCTGCAGACGTCGATGTTGCGCATCCGCAGGAGGAAATTGGTCTCCCGGGGCGAGGCCGGGTCGAGCTCGGCATCGAGATGGTGCGAGAAGGTGGCGGTGACTGAGTTACCCGCGTCCTGCTCGTAATCGAAGAATACAGGGTCGGGGAGGTGAAAAATTGGCCCTGAGCTTGTTGAAGACGCGTCACTCGAGAACTCCGAGGTTGGGGACATGGCTAGATAAAATGATGGCCCTGATGTCCAAAAGACCGAATCCGACCGGTAAACGCAACTGAGAATGTTGATGCGGATGTTGGAAGTGGGAATGGTTTCTGTCCACGCCATAATACCCATCTAACAGGTGGGTGTTTAGAATACGCATCAGAAAACATGCGATAGCGCAAGGAAGTCGCGATAGGAAGCAAAGGACACAAGCACAATTTTCTATTCGAGTCTGAGGCAGGTGCCAGGCGTCAAGTCTGTTAATCCGGTACGTGGCGGCAAGAACACCCCAGTTGACACATCACGAGCTGAGAAAGGTGATCTACGATCATGTAACACGGGCAATGACCTTCAACGAGGGTCAGTGGTTTGGCAGGCACGTGGCCGCATTTCACACTTTGCAGGAACTGCCATGTCCGAGTGGCACCGTCTACAAGCACCGACACCTCCCGAGGATGAGGAACAAACAAAGAGAAACATGGCAAAGGGCAGAGAGCGGATCACAAGAATAGAAAGCGCACCTGGGAGCAGGTGCAAAGTGACGATAGCGCGAAGAACCTAGGTAGAGATGCCACGGAATAATTAAATCCGCTTATCTACTATGTACTTGGATATTCAAGACCCTGCCCATGTGAGCCTGAGCCGTACGTAGGCATGTAGGTAGTCATCAGGAAAAAAAAACAGGAACAGATGCACGACAGGCCTAGGGATGTTGGTACCGAAACCTCCCGCTTTCGAAGGCATCTCTGTTCTAGACCATTGGTGACGAAAGAAATGGAAAGATATCAACTGGACGGAAGGCAAAAGAATGAACAGATGGAAAAAGAAAGAAAGGGGACGTCTATACTGCCACAAACTCTAGCCATTCTACCACAAAATCATCCGTGCACACATGCGATCACTGCCGCGCACCGTCCCACCGGCAAATTTACATGTTCTCCCATGTTAATCACGTTAATTCGTTAAGCCACAAGTTCAATCCCCCGTATTGTACGGTTTTTGAAGCGGCCGTAGCTTTTTGCACGAGTTGAACTTGCGATCCCGGCAGGGGTACCGGGGCCAGTAGGACCCTAACCCCTGCTAGGCCGGGGTTTAAGTTCAATGAGGTTTCGCAAGCAACGGTGCCTGACGTTTTGCAGCGATTCGAATTTATAAAGCTACTTCGCAACAATTTTTATTTCCCCCCTTTTTTAACCCCTGCAGGCCGGCCTACCAGGATTTTAATTTAAAAATCCGCCTCCCCTGCGGGGATTTAACTTTAATGCTTCCCCGCAAGGCACGAACCAACATTAGCATGTTATCGACTGGCATTTCACAGCACAAACCTACCGCAGAGATACAAAGGGCCGTCTGTGTTGCACTGTAACTCCGCTATTCTGTGGCAAAATAGGTAAAGTCCGTGGCGGTATAAACGTCCCCGAAAGAAACATTTTAAAGACACTGGGAGAAGATGGACGGAAAAATTCAGAAGATATGCAGGAACAGAAATGGGAAAGGAGGCCGACGGATGATCATCGGATACAGTTGTGCACGCGGTGGAGGTTCAGCTTCACAACTGGGCTCCGAATTTGCACACAGCTACATGTGCTGCTTGAAGAAGGGTATTTTTGGCATCTACATGCGTCGTGTGCACGCGGTCCTGTCCTCGAGAGCGACTTGGCAGCGCCACGTCCAGAAGTAAGGCCCACAAAGCCTGTCCGCTTGTCAGGGAACACTCGAGCGACGGTGAGATGCTCGGGTGGATCCTCCCATGCTGGGCCATTGGGTTGCAAAACAGCACCAAGAGAGGCGTCGGTGTGTCCGGCACGGGGGTGATGCTAGATGTAATGCAAAGGTATAGAAGGGGGGGGGGCTGTCAGGCTTGGAGACGGTCATCCCTGATCCCTGGTGGGAGTCTGAAAACCCCATGGGCGGTTGAAAGCCCCTATTTTGCCCATTGCTATCAGGCCGACAGTTTATCGATCGCATCCACCGGGTGCATTGCATTGAAAGTCGAGATTTTTCTCTCCCCGTCCCTTTTTTTTTTAGGCGGTTCAGCACATGCCAAGCTGAGTTCGCAGTACTGTGCGGCGCTAAATGATGACGCCTGCTCCTGGCAGAAAATCCGTGCTGGGGGAGTCCTGAGGTCGACTTCACCTCAACGTCACGTGGTTACACCGCAGGAATAAGCTTAACCGCCAATGCCTTGTGGATCACGACAGGCCTTGCGGTGGCACGTGGGTGGCAATCAAGAGCTTATACCCCACCCTCTAGCGGCACACGACTCTCGTCTGCGACGCTTTGCTAGACCTCTGGTGAATATTGGCCATTTGACGTCCAAACCGGGAATTCTCCGACCTTTCGAGGCCTCTCTTCTTCGCGGCATGTGACGTAGCACGATCCCAATCGGGAGGGTACGGCTTCCAGGCGCGTGCTGTTCTCGGCTCGCAGGTTCTAGATATGGAATGCTGCTTGCGTTCTCTTGATGTAGATGTTTCTTGAGGCCTCAGCATGGCCCAATTTGACGGTTTCTTTTTTTATCTTTACACTTGGCCGGCATATGGCGTTAGCACATGGGCGCCTTGTGTTGATTTACTACCGTTGATATTGATTATGCGGCGGGTCCAAGATCGAGAGGGCGCAGCCAGGCCGCCCTACACTACGCACACGGCGGCGCCATAACCTGGGGATCACCGTCGTTCGGCAGGCTCCTTGGCCCAGACTCGGTCACCCGTGCTTGAAACGCAGGGGCCCGTTATGCCAAGCCAGAGAGGCACAGGACTTGAGCTGCAGCTCATCCCCCACCCAGGATTCTGACTCGGCATCTGCAGGGCCAAAGGCAGGCGAGGCGATCAAATGTCATCTCGGGAACGGCCAGGGGCCGGTAGGCGTGGATGCGCCCCCGGGCAGGTCCAACGGCGGCCCAGCCGGCTGGGCGCCCAGAGAGCTCGCCACGCAGGCGTGTGTGGCTTCTGGCGCAAGCTGAGGCTGTGGGGTAGAAGGCCGACTCTGGCCCTTGCTCAGGAGCGAGCCAGGGGCCTGCCGCCATCACTGTTCGCGCACGGGGGCGGAGCTCCTGTCCCATCGGCGGCTGCGGACCCTGAGCGGCGGCGATGGGGTCACGGCGCCAGGGATATAACGGCCGCTGTCCTGCGCACTCTCTGCTGCTTGGATTCCTTTCCTCCCCATCGGATCATTTCGATACCATCCAGTTCTTCTTTCATTTTGTTGCTCACCTCTTTTCGAGCTTCCTTTCTTTTCCCTTCTTGGGCCTTTTTCTCCTACGTCTTTCTTTCATTAGGTCTTGGTGCTATTTGCAGTCCTCAAGTTCCTTCTTCATTCTCACAACTCCCCGTTCAACCTTTACAATGCATTTCTCTCTCTCGACTCTCATTGTGGCCCAGGCCGTCACCGGCCTCGCTGCCGTCATGCCTCTGCCCAAGTCGGCGCCTCTGCCCGAGGGTGCCACCGTTTGGCGCCCCCTCGTCGGCAGGCAGCTCACTGCCCCCCGCCTGATCCCTGCCACGGCCGTCTCCTTGGTATACACCCCCGCCCCGCCGTTATACTCGCCGGTCCCGGGCCGGCCGGCCCCGATCACTGCCTCCAAGGACCGGGCTGTCGTCACCGGTAACATGAAGATCCCTTCGGTCGTCCTCGAGGCTGTTACCGCCACTGTTTCGTGCACCACCTCCCAGGTCTCTGTCGTCTTCAAGAACGACGCCGGCCTGGCCGACGCCAAGAAGTGGCCCACCAAGGACCTTCTCCTGCTCACCACCGAGGCGGGCGGCTGCGCCAAGCCAGGCGAGCGCGGTGTCTGGATCATCTCGGGCTCCAAGTTCGACGACAAGGCCAAGTCCGGTGTCTTTGCCGCCAAGCAGACCAGCCTCACGGAGCAGCTGAGCGATGTTGACATCACCTTCAAGACCGCCGGCGCCCCCAAGACTAAGCGTGGGCTCGACCTGAAGCTGAACGCCGACCTCTCGGGCAAGAACATCATCAAGCAGGGCCCCTTCTCCATGGATGCTGATGTCGCCAAGTACACTGGTGACATCCTCATCTCGGGTGGTCTCAAGTTCGACTTCCTCAAGCTCAAGCTGACGTCCATGTTCATCGACCTCAACTACGACTCGATCTTCGACCTTAACCTCACCACCTCGGTCAAGTCTGGCAAGGACCTCGCCAAGTGGGACATCAAGCCCATCTCCCAGTCTGTCTCGGCCTTCACCATCCCTGGTGTCCTTGACGTCGGCCCAATCCTGGAGTTCGGTCTGGGCGCTGAGATCGGTGTCAAGGGCAGCGTCGTGCTCAAGACTGATATCCACACCGAGTTCAAGGGCTCGTCGGTCCACATCAACTTTCTCGACACCAAGAAGAACGTGGCCAAGAACTGGACCCCCGTTTCGACTGTCAAGAACGAGCTCGACATCCAGACCAGCCTCCAGATGAACCCCTACGTCTCCGCCCAGGTCGGTCTCGGTGTCAAGGCCTTCGGCGGCAAGGTCGACCTGACCGGCTCCGTCACGGCCAAGGCCACCATGGTCAACTCCTTCAACGTTCAGGCCGACGTGGCCTTCACCTCGGCCATCACCGACGTCAAGTTCGTCGCCCCCACCAACGTCAAGGCGTGCCCCAACGGCGCCTGGTTCGCCTCCACCCTCGACACCAGCGTCGTCGCCGCCGTCGGCACCCTTGCCAAGGCAGACCTGTTCAAGAACCAGCTGCCCATCTACAAGTCGGCCTGCTGGAGCTTCGCCCCTGGCAAGCCCGCCCCTGGCAAACCTGCCCCTGGCAAGCCCGCCCCTGGCAAACCTGCCGCGGGCAAACCCGCCGCGGGCAAGCGTGACCAGCTTGAGATCGCCGCCTTCTAAGGCGCATGCTCCTCCGCTCATGCCTGGCAGCAACAACCACCGGCGCAAGGATGCTAAAGGTGACATTAACTTGTTAACTTTTTGCTTCCTTTCTGCCGGGCCCCTTATTTGTTCGCCCACCGTTCTGGTGGGACCTGCCTTTGCCACTTGTTTGTCGCAGCTTTAGTCTGCATTGCATCGCATCACGCGCGGTATTGTATGAATTCGGGACTTCACGTTATTTTATAGACTATAGAGGCTGCTTAGGGTTCTCCGTGGTATTCGGCCGTGTTATGGGTCGGTACCACACAGTTCAGCGTTCTTTTTGTGCTTTTTTGTATCTTTTATTTTCTTTGCACTATAGATTAGGAATCGGATGGGTTTCGCCAACGCTTGTCTCTCAGTGTGACGCTGCCAGATGCGAGATACCTGCAGTCTTTGGCGAAGTGCGAACCAGCACATGCTCTCCTCGACGGCTCCATGCAGTCCTCTGATGGAACCAAATGTCGCAATCGATTGCGGGGCAATCAAGCCTCCCGGTCTTCCCAGTTACACCCACCATCCATCCCACTGCCGTTGGCTACCAACCACAATGGCCAACGAGAAGCCGCCACTAAACGTCCTCATCGTTGGCGGCGGGCTCGCCGGCCTCGCTGTGGCCCTGGTGCTCCAGCAAGATGGCCACAGCGTCACCGTCCTGGAAGCGCAACCGCCGGTCCTCGACCCGGCCATGCAGGGCGCCGGCATCCACCTGCCGCCCAACGCCACCCGGCTCCTGCGCCGCTGGGGCGTCGACCTGGACGACGTCCCCAAGTCCGTCTGCGCGCGGTACGACCTCGTGCGCTGGCGGGACGGCGGCGCCGTCGCGTCCCTGCCCTGCAACGCCCCCGCCCCGCCGGACGACGCGCCCTACCACCTCGTCCGCCGCGCCGACCTGCACGCCGCGC